TTTTGCAAATTGCAGTAGCTAGTTCATTGTACCAGATTCTAGGGGTCATTTGGTTTTTTATTCAGAGTTGTCTTGGATTTCAGGGTTGGTCAGTGTTTTTGTTGTGTATGTGGTCTTTCTTGCATTTTACTGCCTGGTATCTGTTATTTTTATTTTATGCTTTTCGTTCCTTTGGGGAGTGTTTGGTTGTTTTGGATCGTTTACTGTTCGAGTTGTTAATAAATGACATAAAATAGCATAAAGACTTGGACTATTGAGAGAAAACTTGACGTCAGATTATATTAGAAGATATTCTGAACCTGGATAATTATTTCATACATTGCCGGTACGCTACACAAATTTGGAAAACTTAATTTTGATGAAACCAGTTCTGATACTAGCATCGGTTTTGACCAGATTAATTTTGAACTTGGTTGGGATATCAGTGACGACAGCGATAATTCTGCAGATGCGTTCGAGCCAAAAAGATGAGGGCAACCCAACGACTAACATACCGGGGCTACCACACCAAATATGTCAAGTCCATCTACTGCTTTCGAATCATCAAATGATGAGCATGAAATACGATTGAGTGGCAGATTTCTTGCACCCAATGAACTCTACACAACCATGCTGGTGGAGGTTATTGCTGAAAAAGAAATCCCAACTGGTCCGAAAAGCAACATTGGATTCGTGGTACAGGTGGAAAAAAATAGCAAGCGCAATTTTGTTCCAGATGATTGTGGCGCGTGGTCGCGTGTAAAAGCAGGGTCTACCAGAGCATATTTCATTATTGAAGAAAATGGCAACCTGATTTTCGTCAGAAAAGATAAAGATGGCTTCTACACAGAGAAAAAGTCCGGGGGGAAAGTCAGGAAAGAGCATGTACGGCCAATGCACGACACCCAAGATATCCTAATTCTTCATAGAGTGTACAGCAAACTAAAGGCAAACACGAGCTATCGAAAGCGGGTGTCCTGGTTTCGTGGTTATGATGGTTCCTGCATCGGTGATGGGAGATCTATAGTTGAATACCTGGGAGCCTTCCCACGGAAATACAAAACAAAACAAGCGTGAGTATGTAAGAACACCTCCTGGAGTTGTAAAAAATATCGATGATCATGTGCAGTCAAAGATGTCCACAAGGGAAATCTATAAGAAAGTGATTGACGAAGATTCGATTCATGCCCCGAGGGACTATCGATAAGTGAGATATAAGAAAAAGCATGCCAAAAGAGACAGTTGGAGCACAAAGGGTTCTCGCACTTTCGCTGATGGGGTTCTTGATGTCCTAAGCATGGTACAGACAGATGACTTCGTGCGAGAGGCGGCAGTAATCAAAGGACCCCCACCCTGTGTAATTTTGTATACCAATAATCAGCTCGCTGATCTCAAGCAAATAGCTTCAACGACAAGTGACAAATTTTTTTTAGGTGTTAATCACACGTTTAACATTGGTGTCTGTTATGCCACCATTATAGTGTACAAGCAGTCAAAAGTCGTAAAAAATAGCACTGGTGAAAACCCTATATTTTTGGGCCCAATTTATCTCCATTGGGATGGAAAATTCACGACATATTGTCACTTTTTCTCCGACTTGAGCGCCAGGATATCAACCACTGCTTTCACGTCGGAAATTAGGATTGGAAGTGACAACGAGTTTGCATTAACAAAAGCTCTTGACAAGTGTTTTGCAGGAGTTCAGCGGTTCCTATGCACAGGACACTTGATCCAAAATGTGCAACGTCTGTTGCGAACAAAGGGGTCAATTTCTGAAGAGTCTATAAAAATGCTGTTATCCTCTCTTTTCGGGGATGATAGAATTGCCAGAGCAGCTTCAAATGAGAAATTTGAAACCAAATCTGTTGAATGCAAGAGACTTATTTCACAGTTCCATGAAGATATCAAGAGGTATTTAACTGTACAGATTATGCCTCTGCTTGCAGAGTACGTCGTCAAACCGAGGAATGGGCTAAGGCAAAAAGCGCTGTGGACCAATAACAATTCCGAGTCGGTAAACAACCTCATAAAAGTTGACATTGATTGAAAGCTACAGAAGCTGCCTCAACTAATCAAAAAATTTAAAGATCATGCTACTTTGCAGTACACATACATGCGGAGAGCTATTCACGGCAAGGGCAATTATTCCCTAATTCTAGGTTCAAAAAGTATTCCTACAGCAATGCAGTATGGCAAGAGATGGGGGAGAGTCAAAAAGAGAAAATATTTCAAAAATTAATCTTTGAAAAAGACCGTCCCCATACTCCCCTTGAAACTGAAATGGAGGAAGCGTCGAACCCAGCATTTCATTGTCCAAGAAAATCGCACATTGCCAGTAAGCCCGGACAATAGGAGGAAACTAGGGCCAAAAGTGCAGCAAAAAGTAGATGGATATATCTAAAGTGGCTCCTATTATGACACAGACTAATAGTCAATATACATAGCTTATTCATCCAGTGTTTTTGATTAGCTATCTGACATAATCGTGACTGACTTCGTGTTTTTAACTTTTATTACAGTTCGTTTCTGTGTTGGTGTTTTTTAACAGTTCTTGTTTTCACATTGCTTAGGTTGATGTGTATGCTTGAATGAGCATGAACATATTTCTTCGTACGATTAAAATAAACTTGACTATGACTATTAAAACAAAACGTGATGTTACAAGTTACAACCTACCTATCTGTTTTCTTTGCTGTTGTAAAAATAACCATGCTTGCTTTACAGTTTATGCGAGGTTTTGGTTTGCTGCACCAAGTAACGCAGATACCTGCACAGGATGCAAGACAATAAGTATACTAAAGCACCTTCATTCCATAAAAAGAAACACTGGCAGTCGTTTCGGGTTACCTCAATCTCAAAAATTTGCATTAGCGTCAATAAAGTAATTAGTGATGACCTCACAATACACGTCGATATATTTTGACGTCATCACCGGTGACGTCTCTACTCTCTAATCACGCCGAATGACCGTAAAAATATGATCTCATTTTCAGAAACGTTTGATAAACTAGTCGCGATTATTGTTGAAATTTTGCATTGGATATTATGACGTAACCAGTAAAGACATCATAAATTTATTCGAACGTCGCCACATTCAAACCATGTCGTTTTTCTCAAGAGTGCATTATACGCCAGTATATTTCAAATTTGTGATTGTGACGCAATCAGCAAGGACGTCACCAATCATGCCAAGAATAGTCGTGATGACACCGCCTCTTCTTTCTGAAACGTTTGATGTATTGCTGGAAGAGCTATCTCCAAATTCCGTATTATCGATTATGACGTAATCAGCAATGAAGTCACCAAACACGCCAGGAATAACCGTAATGAAACCACCTCATCTTTCTGATAAGTTTGATGTATTGCTCGAGGGGATGGCTATCTCCAAAATTCGCATTATCGATCATGACGTCACGAATCTTATGCATTCCGCGCCATTGTCGAGTTGTATTCAATCCAAGACTTATGCCACATTCTTCGCATCTAAATTAGAGATGTAGTGGTGTATCGGTAATATCAGCCATTTTTACGGTATCGGCCATGTATCGGTATCGGTGAGATTAAGGCCGATATTTCCGATATATTTACCTTTTTGATATGGTCCAGAACAATTCCCTCTAATTTTTTGTAGTATGTGTGCGCAGAAATTTTGGTGTGTGCGCACTTTTTTGGAAATAACTGATATTTGTGCAAAAACCAATAAAGAAATTTTGGCGTTCTAACCGGGTAATAAGTGGGCCAACAACAAACTTTCTCAACCTGCCAACCGAGCACATTGTTACATTACATCGAAATACGTCTGTGCGCAGTAAATCTATGCGTGTGCGCAGCCTCTGAAAGCTGTGTGCGCGCGCACACGCGCACACCTTAGAGGGAACACTGGTCCAGAATGTTTTAAAGATAAGTTGGAATACTACTTTTTAATTTATTTTTTGTCTGGAGAGATCGTGAGCTATGAGCCATACATGTCCCCACCCCCGCGAGAGAATAGGATTCACGTGTTTTCAGCTATTTATCAGCTCAACTAACTTGGCTATTTTCGCTGTCAAATTTTTATATTGACATTTTTAATATTACATAGTAATCATGAAGAAATATATCAACACGGCACATAACAAAAAGCAATTAGACGCCCAGTTTTAAATCATACAGTGGAATCGGGGTCCTTATTAACGGCACATGGACTTTTGGCACGGGTATAAATTCTGACTGTTTGTCGTCAAGTACAGTGTCATTTAGTCCGTCGACATCAATAAACTAAATTCCGACACAATTATCCCTCTACGCAGGTATCAATTTTGTTTAACTACACAATTTCTTTTTAGATATATTGACATGACCGCCTAGCCCTAGACTGTCACAAAATATATGATAGCAATTGTATAATAATATAAAATAGTAAAGTAAAAAACGTCCTCGACGGTTATAGGTAGGCCTTCTTTTGGTCGGTGCTGATTGATATTCGTTCGTGTGGGCTTTGACTTACTTATTGCGTCGACGATTACGAATAGCGACGAAATGAAATATTTGAAAAATGCTTTTAATTTGATCGTAGGACGGCGGCTCTAGAATGTGTGGGTGATATTCGATATTCTTTTAAACACGAATAACGATTTTTGAAGGTCGCGATATTAACATTAAATTCATATTGGACATCCCGGCTTACGAGTTTCAATTGAACACCGAGATTACTAGCGTTACTGCACAATGTATCTTAATCAGTTAAAGCATATGGATACCAAACATTAATTTCATATTATGCTACATATATATCTTTTTTTTCGATCTGAAATATTTTGTACTATGAACAACGCTCAAAGACCATTGTTTTAACCCGTCTGCCCTACACAACACACCTAATTAAGTAATATTTACATAGTATCGGTATCGGCGTTTTTAGCTAGTATCGGCGACAAAAGTGGTATCGGTACATCTCTAATCTAAATCGGTCGGTTTGCGCAACACTAGCAAGGAGGATTTTTTTTTTCCCGCTGGAGACACCCAGACAACAAAAATACAGATAATTCGCAAGCTTGCTTTATTTCAGACCAACACCATAAGATACGTGAAATTGAAAGAAAAGAAACGCGAATTATCCTTTCCTTCGGAAATGTTTTCGGTGATTACATGAAAAACACACCACATAATGAAACACGCGACAGAGAGAGTTACTCAAGAAATTAAAACTAAAATGCGAATTTTTTTTAGGTCTAGGCTGTTGATGGGCGCCAGATGCTTCCAGTCACTTCTTGGCTCCTGCTTTTTTATTGACCTTAGCTGCGGCCTTGGTTTCTTTCACATTCCCGGTCTTTTTGGTAGTTTCCTTGATGACTCCAACAGCAACAGTCTGTCGCATGTCGCGGACGGCGAAACGACCTTAAAAAAAAAATCTAATAATGGGAGGTAAATTAATCGATCACCACCTTTCAAAGAGTCTTATCAACGATTTCAAATTTTTTTCCTGTGGGAGCTGGCACCTCTCAGCCCACTTTCTTCCAATTCCCATTCTGCCACAATGGAAGTTGTTGTTTTTATCAACAATACCAAGGATTTGTCTTAATTTAATCGCAACTCACCAAGCGGAGCATAATTCTTGAACGCTTCGACACACATTGGTTTGCTTGGAACAAGTCTGACCATAGCTGCGTCACCAGATTTCAAAAATTTTGGTTCAGCTTCCAGTACTTTACCAGATCTTCTGTCCATCTTCTCTTTCAACTCGGCAAACTAAAAAATAAAATTTCCAATAAAGGCCTCCTGAATTTACTAACTATAACTATTTTCAATGAACTAATAACGAAATTCACACCTTGCACGCAATGTGAGCTGTATGACAATCTAGCACAGGTGCATAGCCAGCACAAATTTGCCCAGGATGGTTCAATACTATGACTTGAGCTGTGAAATCCGCAACTTCCGAAGGGGGATCAGATTTACTATCACCAGCTACATTTCCTCTACGGATATCCTTTACAGAAACATTCTTGATATTGAATCCGACATTATCACCAGGCAGAGCTTGGTCCATAGATTCATGATGCATTTCCACAGATTTAACTTCAGTCATAATGCCGACCGGGGCAAACGTAACAACCATCCCAGGCTTAATTATGCCGGTCTCCACACGTCCCACAGGAACTGTTCCAATACCTAAAAAATGGGATAACAGGACATATATATATAGCATTAATTGCTGCATAAACTTAGTTTAATTTAGGGGTATTTTTTTAAAAAGCTTCTACTAATGGTCCGGTTAAATTTGATCCAGTCTTATGGGCCTTATCTTGCCTTTCTCTCAAGTTGACTATATCCATTATTTTTACTCGGAAGAAATAAAACTTAAATTCATACGTAACATAGGATATGGAACCAAAGCAACCAATGAATAATAATACGCAAAAATTTCTCACCTCCAATCTTATAAACATCCTGCAGAGGCAGACGAAGGGGCTTGTCGGTCGGTCGAGTCGGGGGTTCAATATTGTCCAAGGCCTCAAAGAGACAAAATGCAGTTTTTTTAACATTTTTTTCGCCTTCATAAACGCAACCTTTGTCAAACCACTTTGTTTTTTCAGATTTCTCAAGCATGTTGTCTCCATGCCACCCAGAGATTGGCAAAAAAGGAATCTTTTTGGGGTTGTAACCAACTTTTTTCAGATAACCTGAAACTTCCTTCACAATTTCCTTGAATCTGAATGAATTGGAATACCCGATGAGCTTTACATTGGCATAGAACACAGAAAGATTTCTATATAATTACTTATTGCTGTACAGCCAGTCAGTTAAAACGCGGCTCAGAACTCCTGGTTTTTGAAGCGTTATTTCACACCCAATATTTGAATTACAATTTTATATAACGCCCATGGCCAATCAGTGGCGCAGCCAGGGGGGTTTTCGGGGTCGAAACCCCCCCTTTTGAATTTTCTGAAAAGTGAAAAAGTTGCCGATAACACGTGCAATTGCCTTCTGCCAAAATCGCCCATGTTTTCATCAGCGTGTTATTTTGGCCGTAAACGCCCTTACGTCGGTTTTTATTCTTTCAAAATCATATAAAATTTGTGCCACGATAAACATGATAATTTTTTTATTTTTGTACTTTGCACGGAATTGTGAATTCGCGAGTTATTATACGGTCATCGGTGGCGAGATTCTAAAGACAAAAGAAGGAGTAAAACCGCAATCTAAATTTGATTGAAAAGCGGCATTATAAAATACTGAAAATAAAACCGTAAACAATATAGGTTTTGTCGAGTCCCGCGACAGTCTAAAAACGCTTTTCTAGTCGCAAAATCGCGAAATTTCGTGTGCCTACGGCGCACATTATGTTTGGTCGCCGTTTAGGAACATACCGTCACTAAAATCAAAACACAGTTAATTGTGGGTGGGATTTACCTTTTATCCATTACTTTAAAATTTTCGTAGAAAAAGGTTGAAAACGCGATCTTTTTCCCAGTTTGTGATGATATATAAGATAATTAATCCGAAGTATATCCATCAATTTTTATTGTACTGAAATAAATTTTACTCTGTGAGAACTTACAGCAGATTTACGGATTTTTCAGGAGGTTTTATCTTTAAAAATAATCGGAGTGTCAGCATTGCGATTGAACGGAGTCAATGTTACAAGCACATTTCAAATTTGTCGAATTTGCAAAATAGAAAAAATACGGATCAAAACAATATATGATAGGCGACGGGCAGTTACCACAAATTTTTATTTTTATGTCAGCAAATGGCCGAGGTATTTTAAAATTTTGAATTGTGAAAAATTGTTTTGTTTCGTCGACGCAAACGCTGGTTAAATTGAAGACAATTAAATTAATAAAGCAAGACATTTCAAATAGGCCCTTATCGGTCACGATTTGATTACTTTGCACAACAGAAAAATCATTTTTCGTTGTAACCGTCGGCTCTTTTAACAAGTGGCGTAATCGCGGCAATGAATATCTATTTTTGATTCAACGATATACTTCATAAGTACAATACGAAATAAAATTGTACTTTTCGGGATCTTATATCAGTTATTGAAATTTTTCTAACGGCGATAACGAGTTGGCAAGATCCCAAAAATACGTATTAAAATTAAATACACCGTTTATCTCATATTTTTATGTCCACCGATCGCCGTGGCATTTCAGAGAACTGATGTTTTAATTTTGACGTAAGAAGAAGCAACCGCGAGTTACGTTGGACACAATTAAACTAATATATGAACACATTTTAGAATTTTGTAGTTGTCAGAGATTGAATATTTCATGCGACAAGAATAATCATTATACGCTGAAAAGACGTCCCTTTAACGAGCGCGTAATGTGAAGACTGTTACAGACCGCAATGGGAATTTATGATTATGAAACCCCCCCTTTTGAAAATCCTGGCTGCGCGCCTGTGGCCAATGTTCACAGATTAATCAAAGCAATTCAATTTTTAGAGGCTCTTATTATAATACAATCGTCCGCCATGCTTAAATGCTATTTTTCCTCCGCAATGTATTGCCCTGCCCATAACATTTTTAACATTGGTTTTTTTTGGTATGATAAAACAGTTTCAAACTGACCTGGTCTCGCTGTATGGTGGCTCGGTGCTGTCTATTTTGTTTACAGCAACTATCATTTGCTTTACTCCAAGTGTGTATGCCAAAAGTGCATGTTCTCTTGTTTGTCCATTCTTTGAAATACCAGCCTCAAATTCTCCCACCCCAGATGCAACAATCAGGACGGCGCAATCTGCCTGAATGGGAAGTAACAATATACATGAAGCAATAATTTTCTTTATAGCATTGTTGAACTTTCACAAGTATGATTGCAGTAATGGATGGCGGATACCAAATAATCCACTATTTAAATACATTCTAAATATATTTTCGATTATGAAATACTGAATATTTTCTAAAATAAAATCAAGTAATGGAGGCTTTTTTTAGTGTATGAAACAATTTGCATACAATAAACAATTGAATCATTGTATGCCTGGCTATCAAAATTCAACAAAGTTATTTAAGTGAAAAACCAAAAGTGTTCGTAATCACAACCAGTCGGCGAAGTACACCTCGCGGAAAAGGTTTCGTTATTGCATCATTTTTTGTATTACGGGTTTCCAATTTATCAATTAAAGTCGAGAGTTTTTTCGAGTGCGTGAAGCTCTATCGCTTAATGAAACTTGCGTCTACTCGCTAAGAACCCATCAAATCGGTAAACATCAAATACTATAATCCCAATCAGAGTATTCTGAACAATAAGTCGGCGAAGTACGATGACGGTAAAGACTCATTGCACCATTTTTGTGTTTTCCTGCTTTACTATCTAGCTAGGGTATAATAATAATAATATTTATTTATGCCGACTTACTGGCGATATTCCGATAATCTGATTGCGACAATCTTTTATTGTTTACAGACGTGCCTTGCTTCATTTTATATTAAATGATTGTTCGCGACCTGCGGGTTTTCCCCGAAAAAATGAGGCATGTAATCCAAAAGCCAGGCGTCAAATGTTATGACATTACTAACGATTAATTTAATTCAAATATTGTTTACGAATAATTTTATTACACCATTTTCCTAAATACAAAGTAATATCGCAGAACACGACATTCTGTCTCATTTAAATTTCACTCTCAAAACATTACATATTTTTTGGTCCGTTTGTATCGTTCAAGATAGACACACATTTGATAGAGTGTCTGTAGTATTTTAGTCACGGAAAATTTAAAAAAGGTGCCGCATCTGGCGAAGATAGTTACGTATTGAGTTTGAGTAGGACCAAGTCTGGGTAGATAATATGTAACGATAATAATTGGAAATGAATTAGTCTTTAGATGTTATTACCTAATAACTAAGTACGAAATCGCGTTTACGGCAACTTTGTTTGCAAGTCTTGCTCGCACAGAATAAAAAGTTGATTTCAACCGATATTGGTTAAATTGAATATTTTACAACGGCCGCATAGGTTGCAGTGGCCACACGCTGGTCCTGCATCTAATTAATTCTCAGCGGGTGTGTTTTAGTACACTCGGCAGACTAACATTAATAATGATATCAGTATTTAGGGATTACATACATTTAAAGCAATTGAAGGCAAAAAATAGTAATATTCTTAGATTTTATTGTCCTGGGATTTTGGGAAATGTCTATTTAGTATCAATTAAAATCCAATGTTGAGGATATTTATAAATAAATAATACATTTACAATTTTTTCAACATCTACCGTAAATCCAGCAATGTGGAAATTCCCACTATTTGAACAAGTATGAATATAGAATAGGATTCGGTATTCTGGATTTGATTTAACTATTCTAGAATAGTAAATCATTCTATATCCAGGGATGGCCAATACCGAATAGTTCACTATTTCGAATACATTCGAAATTATTTTTTTCGAATATGAAATTTCGAATACTTCGAAAATAAAATCCACTAATTGAAGCTTATCTAAATGTATGTAGGAATTTCCATACAATAAGCAATGGAATAACTGCTATCTTCAAGTTACAACCTAGCTATATTACCAGGCATTTCATATTTGCAGATTATTGCAGTATATATTTTATATACCATGAGTCATGTTAACAGAATTAAATTAGTACGACAATAGTGGTATCGATGATGGATTTGAATATTTGCGCAACACAAAATCACCCTAGTAAAACGCCCATACTTTTAAATACCAACCATTATCCAAATTATTTGTCGAAAAGCGGGATAGAGTATGAGGTATTTTTCCGACTTGTGACAATTTTTTCGTGAGTACAAAAATACGAATCAAAAATTAATTATATTTGGGAACTTTACCACACATTTTAAGTCCGCAGATCGCCGTTGTATGTTTGAATAATAATACTTTTATTATTTCATAAATATGAAAATAGGAATCAAAAACTATTTATAATCGGGTAGTTTACCACACATTGTAAGTCCACAGATCGCATTGTATTTTGTAAATACGAAAATAGGAGTCAAAAATTAATATTAATCGCGAGTTTGCCACACAATTTATGTCCACAGATTGCCGTGATATTGTGCCGAATATAATTAGTTTTGATTCTTATTTTCGTACTCACGAAAAATTGTCACAAGTCGGAAAAAGAATTTATATTTTATCCCGCTCTTGGGAACTAATTTGTATAATGGTTGCCATTGGTTTGTATTTAAAAGTATGGACTTTTTACTAGGATGATTTTGTGCTGCGCAAAATATTCGAATCCATGACCGATACTACTACTTAAAATGCCTTACCGTGTTAATTTAATTCTATTATCATAACTCAAATGTTGGTAAATCGGGCAGTTTACCACACATTTGAAGGCCACAGATCGCCGTTGCATTTTAGAATTATTAGTTTTATTATTTTGTAAACACGAATCCGAAATTAATTATAATTGGGCAGTTTATCACGTATTTCATGTCCACAAATACCCGTTGTATTTGGCATTAATACTTTCATTATTTTATCGATATAAAAATAGGAATCAATATTTAATAGTATCGGTCAGTTTACTACACATTTTATGTCCACAGATTGTCGATACAACCATGAGTTACGTTGAACAGAATTAAATTAATACGGCATGACATTTTAAATGCTGGTACCAGTCATGGATTGGATTATTTTGCGCTATAAAAAATCATCCTGGAAAGGATCGATAAAAGTAACTATCGTTATCAGAATTATTTGCCTAAAATTATTTTCTAATAAATCGACTTGTTTTTCCAACTTGTGACAATTTATTGGATATCGTAACAATTACGGCTATAAATACCGTATTTCCCCGGCTAATAAGTCCACATGGCAAATAGGACGATGTCTATTTTTAGAACTTAAAAAAGGGGTTTTTCCATATAGGCCTCCAATAAGACGGGTAGAAAAATTCGCTAATAATTTTATATGTTTAGAACCAGATCATGTTAGTTTGGTAGAATCATACTCACAGAATTAACTATTTTTAACAATTGAGCGGTAAATTTAAGTTGTAAAGCGGCAATCATTTTGGACAACCTATTAACCCGAATGTTGAAATAATTTTGTACTACACTGTACGTCCACGGGTTATTTCACAGCTGTGTTTTCCTGTCCCTGTCGTGTTTTGCTGAATCGGCAAAACGAAAGGGTCACAAATCATTTTATCTTGGTGGCCGTGTTCCTCTTTAAAGTAACGATAACCAGCCTGCGATTAAATATCATGATTGGCAGACCCTAAGACCCAAATATAAGGTTACACAAATCATGCTTGAGAAGACTCATGCGAATAATAAGCAGGCCACATGGAAATAAAAGAAACATACTTTCTCAATTTTTCGACGTAATGGAAATGAATTTGTAAATTGAAAGCCTCGTACACGAATGTCGGCAATGTCCACCCACGCAAACGTGGAAATGTGTCGCAACACTATGCGACGTACGGTCGCACAGAATATAAACAATCAAAGTGCCAATTTAAAAAGTCGTTTAAAGATTCCCGTAAAAAAAAAAAAACGAAACACCACGTTTACGGCGAAAAGTGGCTACTATTCGGAATTCAGCCGAAAAGGTATTCGAATACCTTGATATTCGAATATTCGATTCGTTTTGGACAACCCTGTATATTGCCCATCCCTAATCACAACTTGTACAATATCTGACCTTAATTGGATCTTGAGAACAGATAGGTTCAATATTACTCCCAATATTTCCAGTAAATTGTTTTAAGAAATTTACCGAAATCAGTCTTTATAAGTACACAATATTTCATCACATTTGGATTTTACTTTTGTTTGCAGTGTGGCACAGTATTGGCTGGGGCAAAGGCTCTACATTAATTCTCAGTTTTCTGACGCAATGAATGTGTAAAGTGATCAAGTCTTGCAAGAAAGTGTCCACTCACAACTGTGCAACGATGTGACAATAATACAACAATAAAATCGGAAATTGTGCTGGTCAAGTGATAGAATACTTTAATATTCGATTAGTTTTGGACAACCCTAATTTCAGGTACATGAAAAGCATATTCACAATGCATATAATCAATCCTAAAATTCAAGCACACTGACACCTGGTTCTATTTCTTCCATAGAATATGAATTCACCACAAACCTGAGAAGTCCCAGTAATCATGTTTTTGATGAAATCACGATGACCTGGGGCATCAATGATGGTGACAGAATACTGTCCAGTTTCGAACTTCCACAGTGCAATATCAATGGTTATACCGCGTTCACGCTCTGCCTTCAATTTGTCAAGCACCCAGGCATATTTGAATGAACCTTTTCCCATCTTTAAATAGATAGAGTTGGTTATTCACAGCAAAAAAAGACTGTCAAAGTATAATAACATGAATTTTGCCATGATTCGACTCCCTAACTAATTTCATATTCAAATAGTCATAATATTTTATAATTTAAATACAGAAGCTTCACAGAATTTTTTTTTTCATATGGTTATACACAATACTTGACAATACAAAATTGCTTGTTTAATCGAACTCTATTGAAAAATTGTTTATGTAACTAACCTCTTGGGCCTCCTTTTCAAATTTCTCAATGGCACGTTTGTCAATGCCCCCACATTTGTAAATTAGATGACCAGTGGTTGTCGATTTGCCAGAGTCGACATGACCGATAACAACAATGTTGATATGTATTTTTTCTTTTCCCATTGCTTTAATTGATACTAATCAGTTCAGCAGAGATATTAGGACCTGAAAAAGAAGCTTGTATTTGAACATTTGTCAAACGAACAATCTTCAGGAACATGATTAGGCTTTAGAATTGAGGTTCTTGGTAAAGTTAATGAAGCAACTGCCGTGTAAAGAGCCCCATCTTTTAACAAAAAGAAAAGAAAAAACAAGAATAGAGGAAAAATATAAAAGAATTTTGGCGGAAGATGTTTGTAATCATGCAATCACCCTATGATTACATACAAGACTTTTTCTTGCCTTTTTTTTATCAAAAATGAATGACATGATGCAGCTCTGATGAAAATCAATAAAATACTACCACTACTATACTTTGTGTATACAATTGAGAGCGGTATGAGATAATTAACCCCTTGTTATCTTTGATGTCCTAAAAAAATACATTTCTTGTGATTAGTTGGCGGAAATTCTCACCAACCTATCAAAAATGCTCGTTTCCTGACCACTACATTGAACGATGTTTGGCGACACACAAAAGTTTGTTATTAAGTAGGTTGGAAACTTTTAATTGCAGATCAGAAATTGACAGTGTTTGACTAGTAAATTTTATACAGTAACTTCATTGATTCGAGTATAAAAAACTTGTTTCGGTTAGTAGTTAGCTCTAAATCAATGCTGGAATTGACTTGCATTAGTAATTAAGTCAAGTGTAAATGTTATTAACAGACAGCATCATAAGATTATGGGAGGACAATACTTAACAGTACCGTAAAACCCGGTAACCTCTTGACGAAATTTTCAATCGTTTATATCTCGACTAAATAGCGTCATATTGTGCTTCTAGCAGTTTCTATAGCAAATCCTTATATATCTCAATCTGTTATCATATATTCAACAGCGCAGTATATACAAAATTAAGACTGATTGTGAGATGAGAAACAATTATAATTCTTTTCGTTTTTTTGGTACTCCTGAAGTGTGCGCACCAAGATGTCGCACCACTTGAACCCTAACCTGGTACACCACCTGAGTTCAGTTTGTGCGCCATCTTGGTGCGCATACTTCAGGTCCGTTTTTTTATACATCAAAATAACAGCATCTGACACACACACACTAAACTGACGTCATTTTGACGTCGCTCACTTCGAAGATGACGCCATGTTGCGTCGCCGTTAGATTTGACGCTAGACATTCGGGCGCCGACGAGTTGGCGTAGATTTGAAAATAACATAACAGCAATATTATGTTCGATTGGATCAATAACGGCTTAATGATACACATCAGTTTTCTTTAGATCTTAAATTCATGGCGTCAAATGTTGGAAATTTATTTAAAATGACAATTACCGAAAAATATTTCGTTCATTTTGACGATTCAAATTCATCCATTTGAAACTGCAGCATGGTTTAAAATAGGAAAATTATATGCAGTCAAGAAATGCCACGTAAATATAAAAATATATAATCTGCAATATATAACAAGGATCATTGTTGCAAGTGGGTTCCGTTCGATGAATTTAACTAAAGTAATTTAAATCAAAGTTGCCAAATCGGTGTTTTGTCGTGATTTATGCACGACCGACATTTTAATAGTTCAATTTAATAATGAATGTTCAATAATATTTATCGTGCGACCATGATCGGTGACTATTCTGATATAAAGTTGCGATAAGAGAAAATAAAAAGACATTTTTGTATAAAAAAATTTGAACGTGCCGCACCAGAAATCCTATGGTCCTCATTATCATCGCCACTCGCTACGTGGATTGAACATCTGGCATTTACGTAACAAGGTAAAGCGAGGTTTTGTCTTCACGCACACAATTTTCGCTCGAGTTGCGACAACGCAGGGAGATGATTCCCCATTCGAAGTTAGATATTCAGTGGTGCAGTGAAAAATGAGCTATTAAGACAGAAAAAATGATCTGATCCACGAGAAAATTAAATGCATGCGCAGAGAATTACATCAATGTAATATATTTCAAATTTGAAGTGAATTGGACAGCAAACGGCAGAGATATTGATTAAGATATAGCGAAATCATCCAAAGTTACCCAGTTTTACTGTATTATTTTCAAGAACAGAAGTAGCAGGTCAGGAGATAGTGCAGTAATACAAACTCTACAGAAGTTTATTTTAACTAAATCAAAATAACGCTATTAGTTTCAAGCATTTAGTCACATACTGCTTAGCGATAAAGTCTTCAATAACATTCCACACTATTATTTTATTTTTTCAATTTGGTTTTTCCAGTGTTTGTGTAATTCATTGACAATCAGTATCAAGGGTTTTGTATCTTGCATTCACAAGTGAGCCAGGCATTGAAAGCATCAAGAGAAAATAAACAAAACAATGTGAATCACAAAGTTTAAAAATAGATTTATATCCAGACAGCCAGAGAGAAAAATATCATCACTTGTTTACATAATTACCTAGTCTTAATCACTATAATAAATCTTGCGATTATTTTGATGCAATGTATGTAGAATGAGACAAATTGCTCGCAGTATGACAAGAGTTGGATTTTGTACAAAGTGGAAGTACTCAAGTAATGAATGAAAATATAGACAGACTGACTTCGAAACACCACAACTCCAAAACATCTAACGTAGTCTACTTTAATGACTCAACTGCCAACCATTATACACATTTATATTTCAAAATATAAAAATGGCGAACACTAGTCTATATTCTGGTATTTGTATGCTGGTAATAGGCTACAACTAGGCGAGTTTAGTACATGTTCGCATGGTATGTGTTACTTCAGTACTTGCCGGTGTGTTCAGCATCTAACTGAATAACCATGGTATACCGTTAAATTCTATTTAATCTAGTTACAAGACTGATTCTTACATACATATTTACAATTACAACCTAAGCTATCCATGAAAACTATAAATAGTAGGAGAAAAAACGAGCGTACCTTGATGCGAGAAGTCAAAAACGAAATAAGTGGAAGAGCTCCGAAAAAGCCAGCACTCACCGTGAAGCCGCGCGTTGAAAGGATCGAAGAGGTGGCGTCCACGTGACAAACCGATGGTGACGGCATCATTTTCCCACCAATCAGCGAGCAGTATTTATGGTTGTGCAATAATGGGCGGATATGACATCACCTTCGATATCAAGGCTACCCAAATACAAATATAATATTCACTTTATGAATTAAAAGGCGTCGTCTTTTATTTTCTATTTTAAATGCGCGCTGTCGCTCATCAACCTGATTAATTGTTTTCCAGTTCATTGACTAATGACTGCTCTCCGTAGCTAACCAACCGAAGCCAAAAAAGCAAGGATTGGAGTCAACCCCGATGTCGATATATGCGCATAATTTGTATGTATGTATGTTTATTTGCCTCGAAAAAAAAACAGTATCTGCACAATATTTAAACAGTAAAACAGAGACGGGAATACATGTTCAAGACCACACTGGCCTAAGACCGTATGTTAGTCGTTGACTAAGACACAGATGTGCGACATAACAGCAGTTTAGGACTGCTGCTTTATAATATGACAACAGACATGAAATAGGCTATACAAATAAAACTCTAGTAAAATACACAAGACAAGGAGATCAACACAACGACGATATGTGCAATATAGTCAGTTAGATTATGGCACGTCCTTGTCCCGGTGTGGGAAGATGAAGATCGGGTTTGGGTCGCTAGAATGGTTTTACAATGAATCTCACGAAACATGTAAAGGTTTGTTCAGGACATAAACTTGCCAGAAACCAACGTTAGATAGGATAACAACACAAGAATAGGAATTTTAAAAGGGAAATGTAGGAATCCTTTGTTTAGGCTTGAGTTTGTTAATCATTGTTTCTTCGCAGTGGCGGCGCGTCAATAGGGCCAATCGGGGGCAATGCCCCGGTTGTTTTTTCGGTATAATAAAAAATATTCGAAAAATACCTCAATATCGGTTGCACAGACTGTCTACACTAGCCATATTCTCCCGACATGGTTCATTTTTCGCTCGCAAAGCCTTCGCCGAACGTCGACGGGGCGACGCCGATTTTGCCCCGGTTGCTCATTGTATATCGTATTCTCTCTTTTATCTTCCACTCGCCGCGTTTGTCTCGTTTGTTTTCTGTTTCTTTTACTAAATCATCGGGGCCGATCGGGGCTAGCCCCGAAATTATGACGACACAATGCAGACGTTTCTTACAACAACGTGTTGACATATTCACGCATTCCTTCTCGTTCGTTGGTTGCTTGAAGAGTTGATAGTTTCCTCACTTTCGTTTATGTAGCTTGTTTCGCTATTTGAATCAGTTAGAGACCTTTAGTCCATTTGCTTTCGATTTTCCACATTCCTTTTGAGCTCCTCACTTCTTTCCGGCTTAGCATTTCTTAGCCTTAGACCTCATAATGAATAAGGTTGATGCACTGCTTCGCACTCCGTTTTCGCAGCTGCCGCTGGAACAAAAATTAGAGGTACAACGTCTTGGGCCTTATCAACCAAAAAATGTTCACTGGAACAATCCCATGACGGAGGAAAGCGTCGGCGTACATTCTGCGCAGAAACTTGGTATAAAAAACACAAATGGTTGTGTTACAGCGAGGACAAAAATGCACTTTTTTGTTTTTATTGCCTACTTTTTGCTACCGCCCGTGACTCACGTTGGTGTAAATTTGGTTTTAGAGATCTTAAACATCTTTCCGAGCGTGCCAGGGATCATCAATCGTCTATGGAGCATCTGGACAATGCAGTAAAATACCGAACATTCGGAAATGTTAATATTGCAGCACAGTTGGATGAAGGACGCGCGGTTTCTATTCGTCGGCACAACCAAAACGTCGAGAAAAACCGCCATGTTCTCGGTCGATTGATAGATGTTTTGAAGTTCATTGGTTGTCACGAGCTGTCCCTCCGTGGGCACGATGAACGGGCTGGCTCTTCTAATAGAGGGGTATTCATGAGTGGGTCGAAACATGGTGTTCAAGTTTATATAAAAGAAGATTTTTCTCATGCGCATTTTTTACATTGTTATGCACACCAATTTAACCTCGTTATTAAAAATATGTGTCTTGATACCCGTCTCGTCCGTATATTTTTTGCAAATGTTTCGGGGTTTTCTTCATTTTTTTCCGTTTCGCCGAAGCGCTCTGACCTCCTTCGCCAGATATGTAGCCGCCGTCTCCCAGCTTGTGCACCAACACGTTGGAACTTCCAATCACGCGTGGTGCAGGGCGTGTCCGAAATTAGGTCTGAGCTCATTGAGTGTTTTAATGGCATTCAGAGCTCTCCGGTTTGGGACGAACGCTCTGTGAGGGAGGCGGCAGGTCTAAAGCGTCTGTTAGAAGGTGGTGAGTTTTCATTTTTTCTCCACAATATTCTATCACGTGGATGTATTATACGGCGCATTGCAGTCAAGGCTACTGGATGGAGCGTCTGTGCAGTCGTGTATTTCAGACTTCTGCGATGCTGTATCTCGTATCCGGGAAACAATAAAATACGACGACACATGGAGTGCTTCTTTACGCCGCGGGCAAACAATGCAGCGTTTGATTTTGTCTGCAAAGGAATGCTGTGACATTCTGGTGAATCAAATAGGCGATCGTCTGCGCACTGAACACCTTGCCGCGTTCACTTTGATGAACCCCAAAAATTTTTCAAAATTTGCACGTCAATTTCCCATCCATTTGTTGGCTACTGTCTCCAAATTTTACCCCATGATAAACGTGGGTAAATTGGAAAATGAATTGCGATGTATATACACCAATCAAACTTTTTTGAACATCACATCAACTTGCGCGCTCTATGGGTTCCTCATAGATAACACTCTAGTAACTACCTTTGCGGCGTCTGCAAAATTTTTGGACATCATTTTGACGACGCCTATTTCTTCCGCCGACGCAGAGCGAACATTCAGCACGCTGAAGCGTATTAAAACGTATCTCAGAAACACAATGAAGCAAGATAGATTAAATTCCTTGGCTGTTTTATCCATTCACAGAGACGTTATTTCTGGGATGCATGACTTTAATCAGCGCGTTATTGAGCATTTTGCTTCCAAGAAACCGCGGCGTGTTGCATATATGTTCAAGCAGTAAAAGTCTAGCAGCATATATATCTATGAGTGAGCGACGCATGTCCTTATCTTTGCATTAGCTTTCCTTTCTTCATAGTAACGTTTTAAACCTTATTTTAGGTTTTGTCTGCTTTCCCGAAGTTTCTGTTAATATGTCATTGTATTTATCTGGGTAAATATTGCTTTTCCTTTTGAAAGAGGTTTCAAAATAAACTATGTCTATATTTATTAATCCCTTGACTTGGACCGGTTTTAAAGACACTTTCTTATCGTTAAAAATTGTCGTTTTTGCCGATTGGTTGTTACCGATGGAATGGTTTTTATACTCATAAAATGATGGGAAAACTTACAGCGCTCATCCTGTCCCCGTAGATGGGGGTGACTTGGTCCCGCAGTAGCTTGCCCCGGTTGTCAAAATGACCACGCGCCGCCACTGGTTTCTTGCATGACGAAATAAACGTATTGTCTATTGTACCTGCCGATAAAAATGTCTAATTATCACAAAACCTAATTACCGGATTTTTTCGAGTGAGCTACATTACATGTGTGCCCGGCGATGTGTAACTTTTTGGGTCGAGCATTAGAGTTTAATATTACTAAAAATATGGATAGTTAAATACATGTCTATCACCATTCGCATCATTTTGAAGAATGATTTGAAAAGCAACCCTTTTGTTAAAAAGGGTTAAATTAAAAATTAATAATAAATTAGCAATCAAAATCCATGTCTATATTGAAATTATTGATGTTGGTGAAACAACGAAATGTTTTTGTACATATAAAGCGATTAACCCCTGATCCATTTCAATGGATACACATGGTCAAAGTATGTAAGCGACATAATGTAGCCGGCCTCGAGAACTGCATGCCACCCCCAATCCCAGCCACAAAAATATGCTATATGTTTTATATTTATGTTAGTTATTGATGTCGATGTGTTATATTGATGTTGGCTATTATTCAAGTTTAAGCAAGCGTATTTATCATGCAGTCGTAGCCACGTGGTAGGATTACAAATATTTCTCAAATGTTAGCTATAACTGTACAGCAAAGATGGCGAACTACCTACCCACCATCGTGTATCCATGATGGTTCGTTAAGTTACGAATTAATATATCCTCTTCATTGCCATAATTCTCAATAATAATGGAGAGGGCTTATTAGGGATGGGACGAGTCCGGCATTACAGAGATTCGACGAATCCGAGTAATAGGTCAAGGACTCGAATCGAATCTGCCGAGTCCGTGACGTCATAATAGAAAAGCAGAAAAACACGTTTTTGACCATGCTACAGCATCGTGCGCTCACAAATATACGTCGTAGCTCATATTTTTTGCCTGATGGTTCCGCAGATAGCTGTTGAATCATTCTAATAATATCTTTTTCTCTTTTTGGCGGCCATGATACAAACGTAAACGTGGGCCAATGTGCGCCTTGGCTGTGAACTGGATTTCCAGCCCACCACCTTGCGTCAATTCTTGTCGGCTATTCAGATATTCTTACATGTTAATATGAAAAATAAAAAAATCTTTTGACTACAATGCTTTCCCATAATTCCAGATATTTCTAGCCGTGAATTTACTATGTCACGTGCGCATATGGTAGAGAAATGCCACTCGTCGTCAATACATTGTGGTACATCCGCTTGCAATTTAATAGTTCATCTAAACGTTCTAAAACTCTCCATGCTTTCCATTGCCTTTTTAGCGAAAGGATTGCACGTAGTAAACCCGATTTAAAAGAGGTATTGATGAGATTCCCCATTGGGTTGATTCAGGGCATGTTTCATTTTTACGCGAATCTAAAACTCAAAAATATTGCGCTAACACATATTTTATTGTGTACCACATGTATACCGAAAAGAATAGATAGTTTGAAGGCGACTGGCGCAACATCATTGTTATAAGCGATCAATAGTTTTTAACTTGCGTTATATTATCTGGATATCTGTCGTCGTTTTATTAGGAGTGTTTATAATGCACACGAGGGATATTGTTACAGAGCTAACTTTGAATTTTACTAGTTAAGGTATGTAGTGGGATTTAAAGAGGTAAAAGTACAAACATAGGCGTAAATTAGTAAAAACAGAATTGATTATGGACTCGGTAAAAACGACGTGGACTCGAAATCGAATCCGAGTCCAAAAAATGCCTGGATTCGACTCGAATCCGAGTCCGGATCCGAATCCCGGCCCATCCCTAGGGCTTATATATAGAGTTTTTTTTAATGGATCAAATGGAAACATCATCATTGTCTTCATTGACAAAATCGTGCAAAGGCATCTCAACATTAAGTACGGGTAACAATTTTAAGAATTAGAATCAACAAATCTGACAAAGCGAGGACGCAAAATTTAAGTACCACGTTCCAATATACATTCTAATATATCGCAAATTAGGTCAATGCCAATCTAAATATTTTGTTTTCTTCTAACAGTTCACAACAACCTACGAATCATACAACATGAATGAGGATTGTGGCCAGGAGACAGAGATTGCAAAGTGACTAACAATACCGAATCAAGTAACAAATTTCTGACAAACCAGGACGGATAAACCAGCAAACAGTATTATAAGGCGATAAGTAAAATGGAAAAACAACTGAACTATTGTAACGGACTCGGATACGATAAAATCATGAATATGTAGGCTACTTTGTTGACGAATGGACTGTTTCAACCGAATATATATATATATATATATATATATATATATGGCCTTTCAATTGAATTTCAATTCTTATGAATTTAATGGTAGGAGAATTTGAATATTTTAATTTCAAGATTTAAAAAATTTAAAAAAGAGATTTAGAGATTTAAAAAATTAAATACTTGGGGGAAATTACCAACCCCTTTTCGATTAGATGATTTCGTTAGTATCGAAATACTTTTTAGAAGTTGATTTAAACGAGTCGCGCATTTATATATTCACACTATCGTCATTAGCTCGTCCAAACAAAAATTATGCGCTATTTCATTAGACCCAACTAGGTCACAAAATTGCAACAATGCGTTAATACAAGCGATCACGACTGAAGTCTACTCCTCCATTTTTGCTCTTTCTATTACCTCCTATACAATTCAATGTCTCGCCTAATTGCAGATTATATACATTTAGATATTTTTTCAACTAATAACATTTATTTGAGCTGCATGTATTATACAATATATATATATATAACAACAAAACCCAAATTTACCCAAATTTGAGTGAAAATTATGAAACAAAGGTAATTTTTCAAAATTACTAATGATGAGTTTCGTAAGAAACACATCATACAATTTAAGTTTTAATTAAGAAACTTGTTTTTGTTTAGCTATTATCAAATTGAAATTCGCATCCCAGATATCTAACCTGGTACAATTCATTTAAATACTATATATATAAATACAATACTGTCTCATGTGAATCACGATATTACATATTAACCATTAATTCGCTGTTTGATTAGCGTGTAGTCCAGGGGTGGGCAAACTTGGCACGCGAGCCCATTTTTTCGGCACGCGAGCGAGGACTCGGAATCGAGATCATTCTCCTTCAGATAAAAAGCTTCAAAACTCGGTGTTTGTTTATTCATTAGGGTTTGTTCCGTTATTTATTTAAACTCTTTTTGTCCTTTCATTACGTATATGACTACAAAGAAATTTATTATGAAGAGCGCGAGAAGTTGTAAAGCTTATGTTGGCTAGAGTTACTTGTTAACTTACTGTTATAAATTGATTTCGAAAGAAATATAAGCGATTAGGGAAGGGAATACAAGAGAGGAGTGCAGAAATGAACTATTGCGTGATTGGGATGCCATTTCCGAAAAATTTTCGTGTCCTAAAAACTTTGCAACTGCATTACTCTCCATGTTTTCATCTACATATACTTGTGGATCTTGGTTCTCAGTTATGAACTTCATTAAGTCTCGTAATAGGAGTAGAGATGTATCGGGTATCGGTTGTATATCGGTATCGGCTGAATTTAGACCGATATTTCCGATATATTCTCGATATGTATATATTTAACTTCCCGATATGATCCAGAATGTTTTAAAAAAATAGGTTAGAATACTGATCTTGAAATTATTTTTTGCTTGGATAGATCGTAAACTAAGAACCATACACGTCACCACCCCCGCTAGTAGAAACGGGAATCGGCCATTTATCAGCCAAATTAGCTCAATCAATTTGAGTAATTTCATTGTCAATTTTTTTTTGTTAAAATTTTTAATATTACATGGTAATTATGAAGAAATATATCAATCGAATGGGGATTTTCCAATGTGTAAAATATAAAATACGACGTTATATTGGCATAAAATCCTGCGCACGCAACTCAATGTATCAGTTTCATACGATAAGTAGGCTAAATATTTATTTATTTCCCAATCCCAAACATCTACTTTTTATTATATATATGCACTATATATATATATATGCAACATTATGCTCAAAAACTATTGTTTTAAACTGTCTGCCCCACACACTTCAGGTAATATTTACATGGTATCGGTATCGGAACTTCGGCAATATCGGTCGTTTTCGAATATCGGCGTATCGGTATCGGCTTTTTTTAGCTGGTATCGGTATCAGCGACAAAAGTGGTATCGGTACATCTCTAAATAGGAGTAGCCTAGAAGTTATAAAATATAAACCCAATGTAAAATCTCCATCAGCGGTAATGCAGCTGATATAGAATAAGAAAAGTATTCAAATCTATTCGTCGGACTGACATTTTCCCGATTAGTGAATCTGTCTGTACATGTTTATAAGGTTTATCATTGTGTATTTCTGCTTCGAAAGTGGCAAAGCATTGTTTTCAATTTCGGTCGGCACGCGGAACAATTTTGTCGTTGAATTTTGCCGATTTTGGCACTCGAGCCAAAAAAGGTTGCCCACCCCTGTTGTAGGCTATATATATATATATATATATATATATATTTTTTTTTGATCATCTGTTCATCAACGTTGGGTGAGGGGGTCGGGGATGGACTGGGATCGTTGGTACACGTCGGTTCAACGGTTTGTCAACAAAACTATTGTCAGCCAATCCCATCTAATCACTAGTGGTGTACGTGTACAACACAACTCAATCTCGCTACATCTCGCTAAAGAGCAGACGCTCAAAACACTACTTCAGCTTTGAAATTATGGACATTATAACATCAAAAACTCCAGAAAGTGCGGTGATTTGGCTTCGATATCTTTTTCAAAAATACGATTCTGATGGTACCAAAACTACCTCTGATAGACCTACTACCAAAAAACACGCAAGCAATTTTTGAAGGTTGTATATGTGCAAAAACTCAACAGTTATCAAAATGCAACTATGATTCAGATCTTAATCTTTGAAACCGTCGGAACGTCCCAAGGATTTTAATATAGCTCTCAAAAACAAGATCAGATTCGCTGATTATCACGCCATTTTATGAACGGTTTGCGCGAACACGCTGAATCCGATGACTAAATCTTCCACCTTTATGATATCATATGCATATACATTCATAAACACACCAAGATAATATGTGAACAATGCACAAAGTGTTTAACTGGAAATATTCGAGGAAATAGTGCCCACGTAGTGCGAGTTATTCATGCTCACAATTGGCCAAGAATAGGAAAAAGATTAAAAAAAAAAAGATCACCCAGCCTAAAACGATACATCTTTTCTTAAACATCTTTATATATATATACATTTATGAAATGAAAATTCTGCGATAATTTAAATTAAGGATATATTCTATGTAATTTTATTTTAAGCACAAGTTAACTAAAACTGGCCCACTACACATCAATAAGCCTTATAAATGAAATTGTATAGTTGCTTATATATATATATGTTGGATGGAATACGTCATCCAGAAAGCCACAACAACAATATATCAAGAATGGTAACATCAACATTAATAATCTCTAACGAAACTATAAATAAAAAAAGATATATATAATATAAGTTGTTTACATGTTAATAAAATAATATATATATATATATAATGACTAATAATTGTTATTTAACGTATGTATGTGCACACAATACGCAAAATACACAAAAATATAAACCCTAAATTATAAAAAAATGAAAAAGTGACGCAAAAACATATTTGTGTTATCTTCTTATTTATCACAACACCACTACAGAACACTTTAATAAGAAAAAACGTGGTTACTTATTTCAACGTGTTTGCAAAATAGGGACAAAATAACTGTTTACTTCAACATATAAATCTAACACGAAACAATAAGAATTAATCCTAGATTCAGTTCCATCTCCTAAAATATACACTAGTTGCCAATAAGTTTTTCATTTCCTAAAAAATTTTTTAAACGCCACAGTTGAACCCAGCTTATCACATCGTTTTTTGACTTACAAATAGGAAAACAAACTTCGATATATCAGGCAAATACAACAATATTTGTATGAAAAATGTTGTCTGCAGATTGCTTGTGAAAAATAAAAATGAGCATATTATTTGATCTGAAGTTTTGACGCCTTTGATCGAAATTATACCTTGAAACTCAATTCAAATTCACCAATAAAACATGGAGATTGTGTTGACAACCGAAGCTACTCAAGAGATTATTGCCAATGGATATTTCTTCAACTGACGCAACTTATTTTACTTCCCTTCAAGTATAGCTGCTGGTTGTCCATTAGCGATGGGTCCTTCTTCCTTGGTAGGTTTGGCCCTGGGCGTAACATCATCTTCACTTACAGTTTTAGTCGATCTGTAAAGATAGGTCTATTTCAATTTATAAATCAAAATTTGGGGTACAAAGAAAATATAAATCAGGAAACGTACTGAGAAAGGAGGCTTACATAAAAACGGTATTCTGTTCCAATTCAGGCCATTCAAGAAAAACATTGCAAGCATATTGTCAAAAGTATCAATATCGTACCCTAACTTCCTATAAAAATTCACAAGATTAGCAATAAAGATTAATTGCAAACCTTGCTGAAATTGCGTCCTCATTTGAAGTGATATCTTTTGTCTCGTCGTTTACTGGAAGTGACCCGTTTATATGTGCTGTATTGTCTTCCTTGTTGCCTTCATTTTCCTCAATTCCGTCGCCAGCGTCTCGCTCAGGTAGCTCTTGGCTGTGTTCGGGTTCGTCGTGTCGACTCTCAGTTTTTTCTTGGAGGCTAGTTTGACTATTTTGTTGCGAATTGGTTATTTCGTTACCGGATGAAATATCGAATCCCGGAGCAACAGGTGGGGATTCTTTTACTGACGATTGAAACGGGGAAGGGGCTTCATTGTTGGCGTTTTCTGGCGTAGCTCGATCTGCATTTGGAGTTTCACCAACCTCAGAAGGAGGTCTCTCAACCTCGGTAACCTCATTGACGTTTGTTTTAGGAAGGGGTATTTCTTGAACCTCGCTTGAAGTAGGCCTACTATCATTATGAGTTTCGGAAATTCTACCAGCCGTTGGCGGTTCGTAAGTGTTATCATGATCAGTTTCAAGATTATTGGTGACTGGTGTAACGATATTCTCTCCTTCTGAAGTTTCCAAACGGCCTTCAAGAAGCAACGAATCCTGTGGTGTGTTGGGTTTCGCAGGTTCTTCTATAATTTCTTGTTCACTTGCTATAGCTTCCTCGTTTTCCGTCATCGCCGATGGTTGATCAACAGGTGTCGCAGTCACTTTCTGTCGCTTGATATCCAGTCTGACCCGATAACCCCTGTAGCCCGCTTGGATAATAGTTGCTGCTTCATTTTCATCTTTGCTCTTGGATTCTGGGATCTGACGACAAAATGATTTTTTATTTATTTATATTATGTGCAACTGAATTTTCAGGGACAATCCATTAAAGTTGATAATTCTACATGATTAGAATTTTATGCTATGTATGTAAATACGTGTAGGATTTAAAAAGAAAAGCTAACAACCATATATATAGGGGGGTTACTGAATCATCAACTTCTAAGTTTAAGTAAGGTCCGAGTAATTTGCAGTTCTCGTCATAAATGAATTCCGAATCGAGTATTATTCTAATTTGTATATTTTTTAACGCATAGAGCACAATTATTATTGATTTATATATATATTAATGTTATCAGAGGAGTGGTGGTAACATGTTCGTGAAATTTGATGTAGGCTACAACAAATATAGTAATTGTTATATGATAATAGAGCGATGCTGGATAGACGACGAAGAGATCAACAAAGTGACACGTAATACATAACGTGGATAAATGAGAGTTTCCGAAACACGTAGAGTGTTTGCTTGCCTTACCTCACTGTTTTCATTGACTGAAATTGGGGCTTAGCCATTGGTGATTCTTATTGAACAACTGGCGCTCCAGAAGTGTGCGTACCGATATGGAGGTAACTAATTTTGTTCGCCTACTTTACATCAAGTTGTGTAAAGGGACTGAAACCTTTAGGCAGGGGGCATATTCACTTGGCTAACACAGACAGTCCCTGAACTCGTAATGGAACTATAACAAGGAAAATCAGAATAAAATTATGGCCTAACTCTAACCTGATACACACACTACGGGAGTACCGAACAACTGATGTATTCCTGTCTCTCTCTCTCTCCTGCCACTGTTCAGTTCTGAAACGAAGTACTGTCTGACGTTTCATTTACTATTGTTTTATATTGCTTCTATGTTGTTGTATTCGGTAAAACGTCTTCCATTAATTGCGCCTAAGCACTTGGAGTAAATATTCAAAAATGATCGTTTTACACCCAATAAGATTTTTTGTAAATACCTATCGATATTTACAACGTCGAGCAAGTCATCGAATAAGAATTTATTGTAACATGAGTGAGGGGACGTACTGGTATGGTTTTGAACCCCTAGATACAAAACTAGTGCCATCAATATACCCCACTTACTTAGATCCAACGCGCATGTTATAATGGAACGATACAGTAGATAAAATCACGAACGAACACTTTGTTCAATTCATTTTGTCCATTAAAAAAATCCTTGCCTAAAACACTAGGACGTCTTCTCATAAATATACATTAAGATTTGAAAAAGAACCATTTGGAGATTGAAAATTACATTGTACATAAATTTGTTCTATCGGACAAAAAATCTCAAAATACATTAAAATAAATCTATATATATATATATTCAGATGAAAAAAATTTCAAAAACTCAAGTTTTCTGGGATGAGAATAACGATTAAAAAATTAATAACCTTGCATAAAGAGACAAAACAATTAAACCTAGAAAATCGAACTACGAACGACGTTTGGACAATTAATGGAAACGATATGATGACGGAATCCATGAAAAACTAGAATTTGATTTATCCACTTAACAGTTTTAAAATTTAATGTTTACGGCTGAAAAACTACCAATATTTTAAACAACTCAGAAGCAAACAAGCCTAGGCTTTATTGGAGAAGCGGTTGTAAATACAGGCGAATGTATGTATGTTGTTTAGTTCCATGAAAGGAAAAGCGCACAGAGGTAATTGCTTTATTTTTAACCGCATCAACGTGAATTGTATAAAATATGGAGAGACTGATTGCGTCCTTCATAAATGAAATCGAAGTTTTCAAACTTTTAAAGGGTCAAATGAATTTCTGCTTGAATCTTGGAACCTTTCGAAATCATATGGACTTGTTTGGAATAAGTTGAGAATATAATAATAATAAAAAATTAAGGAGACAATGAAATTAAAATCATCAAATTCAATTAAAAATTACTGACAAATTAAGTCCTTTGGCACTAACAGAAAAGAGTAAAATGTATAAAACTAACGAGTTTATATTGTGATAGGTAACATTGTTATTAAATAATATTTTTGGATACTAGGCAATTACGCACAACATAGGAACAACCACATTCAATTTGTAAAATTTACATGCACATTGATAGTGGAAATAGTATTTCTCTTAAAATATAATCAAGTCTTTCGTGGCAAACGTCAACTTCCGAAGATTGCAAACAAATACGTGTAGCTTAAACTAGCGGCTATAGCCTATCCTAGTGCAGTGGTTCCCAATGTTCATTTCAAGAGACCCACATTTAAAAAAAAATAAACTTAGTAAAATCTCCCGACCCAAGGATATGCTCAAATACTAAACGGCATGTAGTGCTTTTATGGCCGCAAAATTAATTGCTAATATAACACAATCATTTTTTTCATAACATTCCTTTCTCCAGAAATTACTTCAAAGTGAGAAAGCTACGTTAGTTCAACAAATTTTCAAAGTTTGTTGAAAAAACAAGCGACCCAAGAAGATTTTCAGACAACCTATATATATGTTGGGAAACACTGTACTACTGCGCATAAAATCACAAACGAGAAGACGATGATTATATTTTGTTTTACTATATTCTATTTTGTTTATATAAACTCATAAAATAATTGAGGTTTTCTTTTTGTGGCAAGTTTTCTAATATTTTAACGGATTATTTTATGAATTTAAAATTTGAATGCTGAATGGATATATCATCCCAGTTTCTAGTTGCTGTTAAGTGATTGTGCAGCAGAAAGTGATTTACAGTAACACTGAGGAAAACTTTCAATTTTAATAATAATTTTGATAAAAATTTGCAGAAGTCCGATGAACGAAAAATGCGCAAGGTAATACTGGTAAAAGTAAAATATAGCTTTTCAGAACGTGTATTTTGGCACAGAAGTTTTAGCAGTAATATGGCACTAAACGTCGTTCTTCATTTAACCGTCGTTTTACTTTACTTCAGTATTGCTCAAATGGTATTAAGATTAAAAATAGAAGACATCTCGTTACAGAAATATAGAAAATTTTAATATTTAATATCGATACAATATTTAATATTGGGTTATGTCATTATGGGTTTTCAAGGCTATCGCGAATATTAAAAAAAATATTTACATCCTTTCAGTAAAGAGTATTATTACGCAGAATTTCCGTCAAATTCGGTATTATTTTCAATGTTCACATCGCTTTGGAGGTGAACGCTGCAATTTACACAAGCTTTCAAAAAAATCTTACCATAAAAACGCCGACGTAGGTAGGAAAACTCACTAAATGATAAGATCGGTAAATACTATACCAGCGCGCCGGAACCGAATAATCTCAAAATTACTTTATAGTAACAAGGAATAAAAATTTGTAACGAGTATAATATAGTAGAATTAAAAGTGATAAAAGTCGATGAAAAAGCTAAGAATGGTCTTGGAAGTTTGAAACCCCAATTTTAATTAATTCACAGGTCTCCTTGCGGCGTTCGCCCTCGTCCTGACATTGGCCTGTTGCTGCTTTTTACCTCCCGCTGTTGTCTGATCTAGGCCCTGTCAAAAGACAAAAATGTCTTAATACTGCGAATGCTGCTGCACTATTGCTTTGCAAAATTATACAGAGGCATGAGTCTCACACTACGCTTCAATCTATGATATAACTATCTAACAGTCATAACACTATAAAGATAGACTGTGATCATTTCAAAAGGAGAGAATGCAGCTAAGAAAAAGAAAAAGGCGAACAAAAAAAGAAAGAGCAGTAGAAAAAGGCAAAAGGAAAAACTGCAGTCTGAAGTGATGAGAGGAGAGAAAAATTGAAAAAGAATAAGGTAAAAGATAAAGTACTCTGCACTGAATCTACAAATTAACCACAAGACAAGATGCGAAATCAATCTGCAAAAGATAATTGCCTGAAGGCGGTCGATTTTCATGCTGATTCACTCTCGGAAGACTACAAAATCAAAAACTCGTTTTTTGTCACAAAAAACAAGTCTTGAAAACACAATGCAAATCAAGACAGCTCAGAATCGGTATTTCAGATTCTATTTGCAGTAAAATACCACGATTAGAAGAATTCATCTACTTCGTATTGAGACAGATCTAATTGTAACGGTATAATCATACAGGCTGATAATTTGAGAATCATCCCATTCCTATTCAGCTTCGTCAAACTAGTTCATTACACCTCACCTCTTGGCTTTGTTCTGGTTCATCGGACGGAGGTTGCTGTAAAGCGCTTCCATTCTGATGCGCTTGAGTTTCCGGTTCCGCCTCGGGTTCAACAACTGGTTCGCTTCTCGCAGAGTAAGCCGGTTCCTCTCTACTCGCGCTGGTCGGAGTTTTTGACGATTGTGGCGGCTCGGAGTCATCTGCGATAGAGTATATTTTTAAATTGCAATAGCAGCAATCAATTGACAATGGTTGTGCGCTAACGAGACACTTAGGCTAGTGTTTATTTGGCGCTCCAGAAGTGTGTGTAACAATATAAAGGTAACTAATTTTGTTCGCCTACTTTACATCAAGCTGTGTAAAGCGACGGAAGCCCATGGGCAGGGGTTATATTCACTTGGCTAACACAGACAATCCCCGAACTCGTAATAGAACCCTTCCAAGGGTTATTTTCTCCGCCGCGTTTAATGGTAATGAGTAAGACAACAAACGAAAGAATAAATGTACTATAACTAGATAATTGGATAGTTATTTAAAGTGGTAATCGCAAATGGTACCCAATGATGGTCTTTGCTCGTGTCCCCCAGAAAAACCGCTCCGGTTCCCCTCATGTTGAGCCAGGTACCATTTTGAAAATCCAAATAGGAAAATGTACGAATATGTATCCTAATCTTTCGAAAAAATACCAAATCAATGTTATACCTTCCTCTAACCGAGTTGCGTATGTGGTTTTGTTTGGAGGTGTTGCTTGCCTTTCATCGTCATGTTTAACAGGAACATCGAGTTCTTCTTCTTCTTCAACTGTGTCAGCCGGAACCTGAACACAAAGATAACAAATTTATTATTGTATTCAAAATTGTAGACACTACAAAAAGGTTTGAGTTCAAAAAATAACAGGTCACCAGTATTTGGATTTTTTAGAGCATGCACGTTATTGATGGAACATGATTTTGAAAATAAATACCGCGACATGATAGTATAATTATGCTTTCAAAATTGACGCAGCACCCTACAACTGCAACGTTCCCCCTAAGCTGCGCAGCCATCCAAAAATCCCCGCACAGTACTTCCGTTCTGCCGCGTACTGCATAAGTAATAAAATGTTTAAAATGTTGTGTTCTTTACTATTTTTTGTAATTTTCCGCGCAGACCTTTTTTTTGAAGCTCACCTGGCCTTCCATTCCGCGCAACTAAGCAAGCTCTTAGAGGGAACGTTGAAAGGCAAGAAGTATATGGTCAATGACAAATGTCGTGTTGTAATTGGACACGAAATGTACATATGGATCGTTTTGTTATTATGTTGTAGTTGTTGATTGTCTTTTTGGGCGTAATTCTTTTCTTCTTCTTGTTGTTGTAAAAAAATCGCTCTTCCCATAACCTAGTGGACTAATTGCTTTGTGGACTAACTGACTAACTTCCGGTGGGTAAAGATTGTATTTTTCGCTAGAAAAAAATTACTTTTTTAATTATTTCAAAAGTTTTTATGGGATCTACGGGATTCGTTTTTTGTGTGCGATGACGTCATCAAAATCAAAAATTGCGCCTCTCGTGGCGGTTCCGCGTTCGCCTTAGTTCTGGTGGTCAGGCAAAGTCGCGAAGACAGTGGTACTGTGACAGTTTGCATACCATTACTATTTCGTTTTGACTTTTTTGTCAAGTATATGTAGTGGTATTCATAATTGAAATCACTGTTTAAAACCAATTACTTCTTACAAGACAATCTCAAACAGCACTAATAATGTATATTAGCATGTCGATTCGGTATGGTAAGTAGATAATGATATTTTCGAATAGGTCGGAGTAAGCCATAAACCATTTTATTGACCTGCTCAAAAAAAAAAAGGATTTTGGCATTTAATCGCAAATGTATTTTCAGAAACGATCTACAAAAATGCAACAAACCTGGTCGATCGGAAGATCTACTTTTGTATCCTCGTCGTCAGCAACTTCTTCTGCCTTAGTCGGTTCTCTTTTAGCCCGGAATACGTCATCCTCGTCTTCTGTCGCAGATACCGCAGTTATTTTGCCGCTGGCTCCTGATCTTTTTACTTTTACTGGCTTTGCATGGAAGACGGAATCACTTTCTGAGGGTGGGGGTGGTTGCTGACCTTTGGTAAAAATAAGTTCGTATGATGTTTCAAGACATTACAAAGTTAATTATGATACAACATGGATAAATTCAGACTAAATTTGGAAAGTCTGAATATAAACCTAATTTCGTTATTCAATGCCAATAACAAAACCAAAAATATTTTACTATCGCGATAACGAGAATATTACGCATTGTTCAGAATCTTCAGATCATCTAACATATAGATTAGTTATTGGACACGAAATGTACGTATGGATGGTTTTTTGGACACGTTTAGTGGACATAACGATCGTTTTGTTGGTATGTTGTTTTTGTACTTATTCTTGTTGTTCTTTGACACTTTTTGGACACCTAATGGAAATATTGAAAAACCGCTTTTCTCTTTGATCACTGGACCAATTGCTTTGAAATTTTTAATGGTTAAAGATGAAATTTTTCTCCAGAAGACTATTACTTTTATTTATTTCAAATATATCTGTTAGCTCTGTGAGATTTGTTTTTGTTTGTTATGACGTCACCGAACGTTCTGAAAAAATGCTTTTCGCATTTACTACCGGACTAATTGCTTTATAAATTTTATAACTCGCAGAGGGACCCAAATCTTAATCTAGGAATGAATGATTATACAATCTGACAACCAAATAAAAGCCTGAATCATGCCGGAAACAGACTTTTGCTGACTCATTCACAAACACGCTCCTGCCGTATATAATCTGAAAAACTACTCGCGACTCTAATTCTATAAATACTCTGGAACTAATAGTTGCATTAAAATTTTTATACGACTGTTGTTTACAATCATTGCATTTTTGAAATGTCAAATATATTTAGTTCTATTCAGATTCATTTCTAATTTTATACCTGCGCCTTTCATCGGTCTCAATCGTCTATTAGGTGGCGGTACTCTTGGTCCTGGTGGTTGGGTATTCCGTGCTCGTCTTTCTGCATGCTGAAAATTCAATGGCGGTAGTTCAAGTAAATTAGAAATGATTATGTCATTTAATCGCTTTGATGAAAAATTTGAGCTTGGACATTAAGAACTAATAATATTTACATCGCGGGTAAAATATAGCGAGTTCCACCCCCATGTTCACTACCTCGCCTAAAGTGCAAGATATTAAGGGGGAAATGTCGAACAAAAAGTAGCCGCATTTGTATCGGGATCTGCTGGCTTAGAGCTCTGTACGAAGTAAAATTGTGTATTGTTTGTTTTGAATGATGAAAAATAATAAGTTAGAACGCGTTCAGTGCCGTGTACCGATGAAACACTGAACCTATACGCTCTAAATACTCTCGCATTTGGAAGAGTTTTTTCGAAAAAATGAAAACACCAATAATATACATACCATTTGAGAATAAGAAGATTCAGGAGGTTTTGTAGAATTCATGGTACGCACTCGCCGTCGGATGGGAGGAAGCTGGACGTGACTGAAAACAAGAATTTAATGATAAAAAAATAGTTATTTATATTAAATGACTTTTGTAGTATATCAAGAGAATAAATTAAAATGTTTATTTGTGTTAGTCAAGTATTTTATTATTTTTATTTTGATATACTACGAAAACAATAACGGTATTGTTAACTCCTAAAAATGGCAAATCCAAGTTAGATGGACAACTGTCCTCTTTTACGACAACTAAACACTATCAAAGTGAAGTCTAGGAGCACAAATTTAACAACTGGTCGTTTTGTAGATTTGAAAACATACGCAGTACTAGTATTATATATAAATTAGCCTACTTGTTACTGTACCACAGTAAAAGTTTTATTACCCTCTTCTAGCGGTGCGCATCGTTGCCATATATTTGGCCTTTTCCCCGTACGGTAGTGGATGGAATTTGTCTCCTCGTCCTGCTACGACGTAATATCCACCGTTTTCAAGTAGATCTGGACCGTGAATTGCTTCTCCATGAAGTGTGAATATTCTAAGTAATAGAAGATATGAGAATTACGAAACAAACTAGTTTTTACCAGCTCAATCCAGAATATGAAAGAATGCAAAATGAGACAGTCAAGATACTTGTCAGAAAAGAGACCGCACATACACCAACATTATTTTATAAAGTAGGCCAAAGGATGACAGATTTCAGTTGAGAAAATAACGTTCATCTACTTAAGAAGAGTAGGTGACATAATTGATGACTTCAATCATATTAGGAATTGAATTTTTTTTGTTCATTCGCCTTCGTCAATTGGACAAGAACGGTTTCGAACCCTAACCTCAACATAAACGAATTAGAAAACATCTTACTGGTGTACCGCCACTCCCATTCTTGTACCAACTTTTTCTGTTATTTCTGATAAAATATTGTCATGATACTTCAAAATACGAGGAGTAAGAAGTATTTTATGTGCTGGACTGTTGATGTCGTTGTTTGCATAAACACTAGAATGAAAAGTAAGAATTAAATTGGATTTACTCCCATTATAAGGTAAATATTTTCTTAGGCGGCATTTATTCCAACAGCACTGCTAGAAAGCTGGGTGAAAGCTAAACACATGAGTCGTTTTAAATCCAAATCTAATCATTTTTTTTATCAGTTCATCAAAAAAAATATTTCAAATTAGAACCGTAAAGATGCTTTTGCAAAAATGAAGCTATTTTTGCCGAAGTCGCAGATTAGGAGCAAAAAAGTGTTTTTACTTTCTTTTTTCGATTCCTATAGATAAAATTTATTATATTTATTATTCAGAAATGTCAATTTCTAACTTGAACGGATCATTCTAACATTTTCTATAATAAGAACGTGAATTAGTATATAGTTACAATCCACTCACAATATTGTGATTGGTCCCTTTGGAACCTCTCTCCATCTTGCTGCTACATTCATTCTTTGATTGTGATAAACAGGTCGGACCTAGAAAAAAACATTTTTAATTTTCATATTTATTGTTCTCAGATATTATCGATTCAAAAATGATACAGCTTGAATGTTTCGTTTGATTTTATATTTTTTTGTTCTTTTTGTCAATTTTGGTAGCGATACTCTTTCAATGATTCAACATCTACGATGTCCTAATTAAAAGACGAAACGCTGTAGTCCTAACCATAATGATAATATTTTTGATCAGTCAAAGAGAAAAGTCGACAAGACGGCCAAATTACATGGCAAAACGCGATCGGGTAGGGTAATTAGTAAGCCGGTCCGGTCCGCTCTGCACTCATATGTGTTTGATAAAAATAAACTTTTATACTGATGTTTTGGAACATTTATAACATTCTCTTCTCAATACAAGAATATAGCAAAACAAAATTTCTCAATCACTGACTCGCAGCGTATCCCATATCATCCGCTCCTTTCTCAATTCGCTGTAACACGCAGTAGAAGGCCATGTAGGCCTAGAGGCAGCCATGATATCCCAGTTTACTCGACGTTCCTTTCAGCCCAACTCCAAACGCAGAATGCGTGGTTTTCAGGTTTTTACGGATTAAATGAAAAGAGGCCACCACTAAGGCAGCTGTGTGTATTGATTGGTTGAAGATGCAAACAATTTTTACCAAATCAAAAATATTTTATAAGCCATTATGTATTTTGTGGTATATCGCTTATCCACGCATGTAGTAAGGTTTAGAAGCATAATTCAAGGATGTATCAGCCATTTGCTTTGCTTGATAATGGAGGAATGTTCCATATAAAATATACATGTCGGCACACGTATAAAAAACTTCAAAGTACCATTTTGGGGGTTGTCAAGTAGACTTGAAGACATCACTCAATTTGCGGCGCACCGATCGACGATGATTGAGGATCGTAAGTAATGGTCAAGTGCCTTGACTGGTCATCGTAAATTAGAGATGACTATCTAAAGAAATAAACTCAAGCGCATTTTCTACAACCCTACGAAAGTGAATGTGGACATTCAATCATTTCGTGATAGAGTCAAAGTTCAAATCTAACTCAATGTTTTACATTTTTCGACACAATATATAGACCATCCTGCCAAAAGCAGATGCCCAAAATGATCATAGAAGGATTTATTAGCAATTTCTACATGATTTCTAACGTGTTCATCGATGATCACGGCCAGTAGTTGAACGCGTTTCGGTACTGGCTCTGGATTGAATGGGATCGTCGGATATGATTAAGATGGTGCAACTGATTCTACCGTTTTATTGCATGTAATAAGTTATGACGTTGAAATAAAATATTCAAAATTAAAACACCAAACGCATCAAACATTTTCATTTTAATGATACTTCGAGTAAAGGAAAAACTTATCGTTTCGGACAGCCCAATCTCAGGATATGCGTTCGCGCTAATTCCTCAAATGGCAACCGAACAATCCAGCGGAGCTATTGTCAAGTATATACAACTCAAACAATAGGAGGCACTCGGCATATTTTATTGAAAGACTACGCGTAACCGAAGAACAACAAGTGCCGAAGAAAAGAGTTGTTGACAAACAAACTCGCCCGAATTCGCCCAAATCCAGGACCATGAAAGAATAGTGAAAGCATCGAAATATGAAAAATGGGAGAAAGTGAGCTCGAAAAAAATTAGAAAGTTAACCAACGTTGCACGGTCACTGTTAATGGATTTTACAAATAACAAAATGTGCGAAAATGAAATTTGCGAAATATGGATAATGTGTTATTATAAATGTAACAACAGCTAGTGAATAACCTCGTATTGAAGTCCATCCTATTTCACAACAATCTTACTCAGCAGGAATACTGGAAACAATATATTCCAAACTATCCCGAAGCAAATTTTCATGGCTTAAATGAGTGAAAACATGTTCCAGTAAGTGAAGTACAGGAGGAATTCGTAAGCAAATCGCCTTAAACAATGTCAATCGCAATCAATCTCCAATTAGGTCTCGAAGCATACTTTCCAATGAATTCGTGAAATTTGCCACAATGAAGTATATTATGATGAATTTTTAATGTTGCGGATGAATATGTCACACGTGCACAAGCTCGGTGTTGATTTTCGTCCAAATATCACCATGGATACCAAAAGTGTTGTGTACACAAGAAAGTTTTCTGTAGGTACTTGATACATACAGGCGGAGAAACAATAAATTAAATTATATTGTATCCATTTCTTAGGCTTTTGTGAAGCAAACAGTCCCGTGTCGCATTACGGATTTGATTATCTCTTCAGAATTCAAGAATCCAATTCATGACAATTTTAGTCAACTTTTTTCAAGAATAGATCATACATGAGCCAAAACTAAAAGCACCGTGTATCTGTAAATCAAGCTTGGTTCTGCATCAAAACTGACAATTCGTAATTCAAACTGGCCTTCGAACATGTATGTAAAATTAAAACCGCAGTTGCGTAAAAAACTGAACCGAAGATGAAAACAATATCGGCCAGGTCATCGTATTGTAGTTTATAGGCTCAGCAGAGCTGACACTTTTGTAATAATATCTTGGAAATAATAAAAAGACAATAACAACACTCCGAAAATGACAATAAGTGTGACCAAGATTCCGACTGAAAAGATACATATTCCGGTTGACTTGAATATAATCAAAAGATCAATGCTGAAATATATGAAAACGAAATCCAAAACGAAGTAGCACAGGTATGCAATCTGTCGGATTAAACTACTTGATCTGAAGCCTTCTCTACTTCGCCTGACCACCAAATAACAACGAACTCGATTGGTCACAAGGTGCGCAATTTCAATGACGTCATCACAAACCTAAAGAAGGAATCACAAAAATTTTCAAAATAAATAAAATTGATAGCCTTTAGCGACAAATACAATCTTTACAACTGAAACTTCCAAAGCATTTCGTTCAGTAGATAAAGAAGGAGATTTTTTTCACAACAAAAAGAGAAAAGAATAAAAAGAACAACAACATAATAACAAAACAATCCATATGTCCATTTCGTGTCCAATAATTACAAATAAATTGAATTGCAAAGTCTTCCGTTTGTTACCTTCTTTTATAGTTTCTTTATCGATTTCAATACTGGATATATAATGTAGAGTTCAGGTTTGTATTTTGAAATTATAGCCTCCTTAGATAAAAATTATAAAACTGGCGAAATGGAAAACATATTTAATATATTGTAAAAGTCGAATGGTAAAATGGCTTGCCATCAATTTTAGAAACACAGGTTAGGCTTTTATTTATGCTGTAGTGGTGTCCTTTGAGAAATTATTACGAAATTGAGCAAAAAGCGCATGCAAACGTGTATTTCTCCAGTTGTAGACTTCATTTTAATAACTTTGTGTGTCAAATATCCTATTGCAAAATGATATTGGTTCATCCTGTCGCGAACTGTCACAATAGGCCCAGTTTCATTTATACAATGTTTAATACTGGAATGCAACATAATTTTGGCCCTCAAACATTTTTTCGGCGCTCCGGAAGTATTTGTACAAAGATGACGCACAACCTGAACAACTCTAACTTGATACACATACTATGTTCAGGTTGTGAGTCATCTTGGTACGAATACTTCGGGAGCACCATTTCTTCTGCTTGGACACTATTGATCTTGTTTTCCTAAACGAGAATATATCACGCTATCTCCTTAGTAGAAGAAAACTTTTTAGAAATTGGCAGTTTGATTGGCCCGGGCAGACTTCCGTACTATTACTGAATTAACGGATTTACGGAGGTCTCAACGTAGAAATCTAGAAGTTACAACCTGGAGATTTCTTGAAGATATCGACATCTCAACTTAGAGCAAGTTTTTTAGTTCGGTTCAAAATTACAATCAAAACGTTTCTCTCAGAGTTACCAGATGTAACAACTATGTACATATTAACTAATGTTACGATTCTAACGTGTCGCTTATTAAAAACCTCCTGCAATTTGATCCCATCTAACTACTGAACTGAACCAAGGCCAAAAGCGTGAAACACGAACACCTGAAGGCATAAATCTTCTTTGATTAATTAAGACGTCATAGGGTAGAAAAAATCGAAATCATTGAACTGATCCCACTTTCAATCTGAGTAAATCAATGGTTGCGTAATATATTCACGTAAAATCGATTTTGCTCCTCCTGGAGTGAGTTAATTTGATATTTTATTTTCAGTGAATACACTCACATATGATTGATGATGTTTCTTCACCACTGACTCCATGCATCTAGAGCATTTAGGTAGTGCCGAATACAATTCGGACTTGACAAACAGACGGCAGGCCGTTGTCTACCGTGTGCTTTTTTATCTACTTTCTTCTCTGAATAATTTCACAAATTCTGTACAATTCTCAATATTACAAAAGGCTCACGTACAGTTAAAATATATGGCTGACTGCTCTGAATATAAAAAACTAATATTCTGTACAATTCAAATATGAGAAAAGCCGATCCCCACAAACACCATACATTAGCTTCCAATGCTGTGGGTTAAGGCGCAGAAAGTTTTTCAAAAACGACAGACAAACGACAATGATATATTATATACAGTATACACTATTCTGTCGTAGTTTTAGATTCAAACCCAGCGTAGGCAATTAGGAGAAGTGGTAGAGGGGAACAACGACGCCACGATTCTTGAAGAGTTATATAGGCGCTTTGGTGGCCTTTGAACCACAACCTGGTCAGTTGTAATGTATGAATGTCAGTCATTCAATCTTCAAGAAATTTCCACTTGTACAGATCGCGGCTTGATTCGTGAAACGTGATATAATAGGTGACCAAACAATCAAAATAAGAATGAAATACTAATTGGGTTGTTTGATTCTGGTGTATACATCCTGACGTACTGAACAGCATCGCAAGACACTTTTCTTACATTCAACTAATCTTCGAGGTAATAGCAGCTAGTTTTACCCTTGGACGTGATCAGATATAAATAGCGTCGGCTTTACCGAGACGAGAAAATTTAATTTTAGATCAGCGGGTAGACAATCTCAGAAAAAAACGAGATTTTTTCTTGTCCTCCTCCAGTCCAGACGAAAATTATACATTATTGATGAGATGCGGTGTGACTAATTTCCCTTTTTTGTGATGGCAAGAGGGCGGGAATCATTCCGATTTAGCATTCTAGTTTTCAGTCGTAAAATATGCTTGGCCAAATACTCAAACAATTTGAAAACTGTTGAATTTTGTTTGTCTCTTCGGTGGTAGGAAGCGTAATGACGTAATATGCGTCTCGCAAACGTCACAAACTTGAATTCTTCAGCTCCATATACGGACGTATAAGGCGATTTACATGAATATGCCGAAGTATGTGAACCAAGATGGCGGACACCGGAACGTATTATGTGTACCAGGTTAGGGTTAGGCCATAATTTCAGGTACAAATACTACTACGAGAGTAACTTGGCTAATCCCGCACTCGTAACAAAACTAAAATAACGGTAATTGGAATAAAATTATGGCCTAACCCTATTCTGGTACACATACTACGTTCCGGTGCCCGCCATCTTGGTTCACATTCTTCGGGAGTGCCGAATCGAGGATTAAAATGTTAATAAAAAATATTAATTTATCAAGTCAAGTATATAGAGAGTGTGCCCTGTCGACTCGTATGATTTTATTTTATTATGGGTATTATCGTGCTTTAAATCCAGAAACGTGATTTTAATTAATAAGATCAAAAAAACAAAACTCACCGTTTCGGTATCTCGTTTCATTCGGGCCGGCCTTCTTGATGGAGCCGTAATTTCTTTATATCTAAAATATTCAAATATTTAGATGAAAATAATCTGATTAGGTTAGGTGTGTCTATTTTAAGACAGGTTTACTTACGCTTTGTGGCGCAGACAGAATTGATTTTTGTAAGCATTTGGCAAATGCTGAATGAAAATGTAAAATGTCAGGACAGGTTTGTAAAAAAATGTGTAAATAAATACCTTGCTAATTAGGATGATCACTCTGTTAACAAAAATGCGCAAAAACTGGGAAAACCCGTCAAAAATCTTGCAAAAATACTGAAAAACCGTCTAAAACCTTGCAATAACTCTTGGCCATATATGTTTATGGTCGTGATTTTAACTTTTTTCACTGTATAGGTAAATTATTATTAATTACTAAATCGGTGTGGGCATTATACTAGTTATTCAGCGAACTATAAAATAGTAGAAAGCTACCGGAACCTTAGATTTTAGAGGTCATGTGCTGAATTAAAATTGGGGGATTTTTACGCACTTCAAATTCAAAAAAAGTTATTACTTGTCTCAGACTTGATTTCAGATTGAATTGTATAATGAAATGGGTCTAACATGCCAGAAATAGTACAAAACTAATGATAATTACTTATGGGTATGACCAATAAAAAAATAGAAGCGGACACGCCTTCCTTTTAACGACTTAACCTTTGCATACATGTTAATAAAAAAAATTACGATTCTGCAATGATTTTAATGATTCAAATCGGGTCCAATTTATCGGGCATTTTATCCTATATATCACATGAAATATAACGTCAGAATTTAATAATCGGTGGTTGAAATTTTAATTAATGGAAAAGAGGTGAAGTACATGAGTACGGTATCATTGTTGCCGGTGATGCGACCAAACAATTCATGAAGTCGAGTGGATCCCCAGTTACAACTTGACCGTCAAGTGGTGTGTCTAAACACACTATAATATGAAAACTTCACTGACAATTTTCAATTCAAGATTTACAGTTTGATTTACAATATACCATGCGCGGATTAAAGAAAACTTGCCCACATAACACAAGTATTATCTGTGATCATGGTTGAAAACGTATGATTTATGTAGGAGGTACTTCGTTTCATTTTTTATAAATATATTGTAATAGGAGTCATGAGTTTAATTATACTATCAAAGATAAGTCATCGATATTTGTAGCTCTTATGTTCTGATTTATGTCCACTGCTTAGCTATAACGTACGCCAAGCTTACAAAGCTAAAAGTTGCTTAGTTCTGAATATGTCACTGGTTTTGACATTTATCCAGTCCATAAATACTCTCGTTTCTGGAAGGACGAAGGACCACAATTTAAAAAAATATTTCACCCAGGAATCAGGAGAAGGGAAATATATACGTTATATAAATACGAAGTGAAAATATCTATATATATATTTTGATTGCTTGAGAAAACATTTTTGTGTTTTTAAACCTATACTTTATATAAATAAAATCTTCGTGCAATAATGAATTCACTAATATACCGATACAAAGTACTAATGGCATATAAGAATATATACAGATATATACAAATATATGCTTTATCGTAATAACCTATATAAACATGTTAAGTCAATCGAGGAGATATTTAACTTTCAATTGGGTTGGGCAAGCTGAATATAGATTATCTGAATCTGGGTTAATATATATTATGACGCTCAACATTGATATGCTATATATGGAAAATTTAATACTTTCCAACTTATTTCTGGCAGCTAATAATAAAAATCGAGTTATTTAATAATGAATTATGAACTTCAGTAATGAATTATTTGTGAAATAAGTCATTGAGCGGCTGTGACATAACAATATGTACTGCGTATAATCGCTCATAGATAAGGCGTGCGTTGGTAAAATTGATATGACTGAGTTGGTATGGGAGATCACGAACAAACTCCAGGACTCCATTGCCAGAATATCCTTTATTCAATCGTCTCCCATCCGCTAACATTGTTGTATTTTAGAAGTATAGTCTTCTTTCATGTAAGAAGACGATTGTCAGGTGTCTAGCTAAAGTGGCGTGAACACCATACGCCAACTTGGTGAGATTCAAACAGCATCCTAAATCGAGATGACAGCTTATTCATAGCATTGTAAATAAGCAGGAGAACAAACTTAGTTGTCAATGGCGATTTTTTACACGGTAACCATAGACAACAACCGATTTTGGAATGGTCATTTTTGAGAAAGGCTCTGGGACAAGAAAACAATAAAGGTTGTCTCTAACTTCCTTCTACAAATGTGTGTGTGTTTACTTATAGCTGGGTTTCATAATAACATTTCATTATCTTGAAGAACAAAAAAATTACCGTTAAAATATTGATTTCTGATTCAAAATCTAGTTTTAAGTTCGTCCCGAAACAGACATTGGTTAAATACAACAATCATGTACAGTGAAGTGAAGCTAAATATTTTTTTTCAGCTTTAGTATGAGGTTTTCGACGTTATTCCCGTGTGATGGTGTAGTAATTAAAATTCACCATACGCTTGAGACTAATCCAGAAATTAAGTAAACCGCGCCCATAAGTTTTTCTTGTTTGTCCATCTGCTTGGTAAACAAAAGTTGAGATCAAAGATATTAAATCCAATTGAGAATATGGTTACCATAGCGATGAAGCGTTCTGTTGCAATTGTAGTATGGCAAGGCCAGCTGCCATCTAATATTGAAGTGATGATTTAATGGTCATCACGATTCAAAAATATGCTTTAAATTATATTTGAAAAATATTCCTAAATCATGTAATAATATATAATTCAATAGCTTTAATTACCGGTATATGAAAACGCAAAAAATAATAGAGTTTCACTGCAAATCGTAATCGGGTATACTGTACTGGAATGCATATATTTGGCGTCTACCTCCAAGCACAGCTTCTACTTGTTCTAAGCATAGTCGATAAATGGGGTAGACAACAATGGTAAACAAGTAAAAAATTTCGATATATATTACTTTGAACTTATGATTGACAGAAGTTAGACAAAAGCACATCAAATGACCACTTCAATCCATAGGCAACCAAAAAAAAACGAAGGCTTGACCTTCATACCACAGGTGTATATCAGTCCAATAACGGTTGCCGTACTGTGAAGGTTTCTCGTGTCTAATAAGAACAGGATTAACTGAGCTAATATTCTACAGCTAGCAGTTGCTTCAAAGTAGAAAAATCAACTACTTCCACACTAAAAGTTACATCTATAGTTATTGCTGAGACAGAATACGCAGTTAACTCGAAACTTGAGGTAGTCGTATTTTAGCTAGATGATAGCAATTATGCAGAATCTTGAAATAGATATATGATAACTTGGTTAAAAAGACTTGAAGGTCGGGCAGTTTTATATGCTTTTGTCACTGTAATAATCATTTATATTAAATGATTTTTATCGATATGGCAAATAACAACAGTCCGACGAAGGATTCTATGCCAGAACGATTGCTTGAAGCAAGATTGTGAACTTGTGACGACATGCAATGCGATTGTAGTGCAAATTTCTCCAGCTTAATATGTTTCAGTAGATTGTACCTTGTGGAATATCTGTTTAAGTGTTGATAACGAGTTACTTGGAAAGGTATGCTTGGTTTGAATTCTGATACGTTAATGTCACGTTACGATTATTCTGCAGCACGCAACCTTTGTTTGAAGTACTCGCGGAACAAGAAAATACTTTAGCACACGTTCGCGTGACATAATGATTGGTTTTTCCTGATTTGTGTTTTCAAAACAATACGGCGGTTGCCACGTTGACCTGCGACAGGCAATGAAATATGATCTATGGAAAAGATAATAGTGGCAACATATAGATAGCTTGTTTGAATGTGGAAATGAAAACGAAAGATCTGGCAGTTACTCCCTACGCATAAGTAAAAAACGTAGAAGCCTTTCCCCTTTAATATCAATTTCAATGTGAAACATATTATATATGTCAATCTAAATTTATTCTTTATGCATATTTCGGGATAGATATACGACAGGAGTATTATGAGAAATATTACCGAGCTAAGAGAACCTCCTTGGTGTAGTCAATTATACTAAACCATAGAATTGTACTTACACTTGTGACAAAGGGATTGATTACCTTGCTAGCTGCTACCTAGTTTGGCCAAGCCTAGAGTATGGCAAAACAGTTGTTATTTGGAGGGTTTTTAAATGCGTAAATTTACATTTGTGACTCCTAGCATTCAATCTTCAAAGATATTCTCATTGTCTAAATGGGAATGTTTTCTAACCGATCCGCTCAACATCGAAGAAATGTTATTTCGAAACTATACATAAATAGCATTTAACACCAAATTATGTAACGAAGGAAAGAAGGAAGAAGGCGATCATTGTTTTTTTTTTCATACAAGCATTCTATAGCATATATATTCAAAAAAAACGGGGCTGAAATCCTTCGATATCATCCGCGTACGTTTACATCATGGTCAACCACACTTTAAAACACTTATTTTTCAAGTGGCAATTAAAGGTATCTAATACATACACAGTAATAGCAAATACACAACAAGTGAATAGACATAGTGCACTTTCGTCTGCTAGGCAATATTGCAATCATGCCATCATTTGAGCGTTATATATCGACTAAAATACGCCACGTTTGGGTCGCAACGCATTTTACGCATACAATAAACGCATACAACAAAAAATTACGTCCAAGACCGAGAAATACATTATAGATGGAAAATCGTGTAGAAATCGTGTTTGACAAATCAATCCAAAGCTCAACGCTAATCCGAAAACGCAACAAAATCAATACATATATTGTGACTATGTCGAATTGGAATGTGTTCCTGCAAAAAGCTAAATAGGGATCACTGACGACTTGCTTGTCTTCAGCTCCTTTCGGACTGTATGTACCACCTATAATTTAAAGCAAAATTAATGGACGACATTCCAAAATGTTCAAGATGCAACATCTCGCAGTATTAAACAAGCCGTAGCTTGCCTTGAAGCGAAAATAAACTCCTAACTCAACCCGTATATTACACCAGCATGACGTTTAGGTCAATATTTAATATTTAAATACCAACTAAAGCCACGGTAACATTGGTAGCGTTGGCCATGTGTTTACAGATCGTCATATATCTACGGCCAAACTATTTCGAGCTAACAAAATGAATAGGTGCTTTTTCAAGGTGGTTAGTGTAGCAGGGTGGGGTAGTCTCTTCCGCCATGAATATAAAGTACTACGGTTTATTACAAAGGACAAATATAGGACCTTAATGACTTTGTGTGCACAACTCATGTATCGATGATATAAACACAGTCATAAATTAACTTCGCGTGAGAAAGTGCACAATAAATAAAATAAAATATTGCAAACACAAAATGATAAATTACAGAACCATATAAATTCTTATGATAATGAAAAGATAAAACAAAATGTATTTATAACAAGAGTGAAAGTATATTATTGATATTGTTGTAGAGAGCAGGGTTTGGAAAGAATAAGCATTTATAGATTTTTATGCCTACGATAGCCTGTCATCAGTTTATTCCGTTAGTACTGTAACGCTTGATTCTGTGTGTATAAGATAACAAATTATGGAAAATTATTCGAGATAACTAGTTACAGTTTTCTATGTCCTAAACAGTTTTAACATTGGCACATTATAGAATACAAAGTAACTTTTTTAAACAAATTTAGCCAATATTTGAAATTCCAGATTGAGAAAAGGAGTGCTGAGTACGAGAGTAAACACAAACTCTTCATCGTGGTCTTGTTTGACAAAGATCATACTACGTCACTATGGAAACGAAAAACGTCGAATGCAAAAACTTGTTTTAAAGGCTTGTTTGAGGAGATTGAGGAAGACTATAAAAGGTTTAAAGATATAGGTACTATCATTGCACGATTTATGGGCAATAGCGAAGATAAAATAATGAGATGCCGTCATAGGTATAATAACAAGAGAGCAATGTTCAAATTTGGACACGAAGACCATAACGTAGTAGTACCGGTATGTAATCTTTCATAGAGCCAACATGAATTTTTAAATTGAATAAAATATTCTTCTAGCGACAACAACAATCTTTATTACTGAAAACTTCAAAGCAATTGGTTCAGCAGTTAACGACAAAACGATTCTACAGCAACAAGAAGAAAATAATTTGATCAACAACGTCATAATAACAGAACGATTCTTATATACACTTTGTGTTCAGTAATTAAGCCATCGTCTATAGTTATACTATGCCTTATTGAATTACATGCCATATGTAACGTATAATGATATTTGCTAAACCACACGTATTGACCAATTACATCGTAATTCTTCAGATAGATGTAAATATTATCCGACATGTTTAACATATAGTTGGAATCCGGTGACATAGGAATGGACATATGGATGTTTGTAAAAAATTGATTGATACAAATTACGCAAACTGAAAATGGCTACTAAATAAATATATAAGTTACAATTACAACGACCCAACCACAGATCCCTGTTTATAAATATAGGTATGAGCGAAGTGTTTTGAACCAGGTTTTAAACATTTTTGAACCTAAAAAAAATTTGTTTGACATGTTAAAAAACATGTTAAAATTTTTTTGTTCCAATTGGACAATTTTTATCAACGGTGTGTACTAACACCGGACATCGATGTTTGCTGGTCTGCTGTTGGTTACAAACATTTGAAATAGATTTTGACATATCCCCACCTATGACTCAACTGATAACGTGGTTTATTCATTGACTTCAGGAAAAAGTTTGTGAAATATCTTGGTCTCTGGAATCGTGTAGATTTGAAATACCGATATTTTTGTTTTGGTTAATGGAACAGTTTTGAAACTCCAGAAGTTTGGGTATGCCAATCGGATGGACGAACTCCGAGTATTGCAAAGTGGATCATTCGGAAATATTTAAATATACTACATTATAACTTACTATTATGATTTCTGATAAACATGTATTTTTTTCAAATCAAATACAAAATGAAAGCAACATTTTGAACCGTTCTTGAATTTAATTTGTTCCGTGAGCCTGCAATTACAATTTACTTTGTATTTTTGCTTGGAGACGTTTGTAAATACAAATAATAATTATTTACTAATCCGATTGGAAGTGGATATACGTTTTACGGATATAATTAGGGGTCGATAATTCCAATTAGGTGCATGGATAATCATAATCTGTAAACAAACAACGTAAAAACCAGGACGTCAAAAGTATTTAAACAGACAAAATGAAATCGAACATACCAACAATGAGCTCATTAAAATTCAGAGACCGCAGTGGAATCATTTCAAGAATTGCTATCAATAATAGGGAAATATTGAGACCATTTAATGTTTTTTTTTATATTAAACATAAACTTTAATATCGCCTTGTTCGTGTATTCTTAAATAACAAAATCGAATAAACTACTCGCAATTGTAATCTAGAATAGTGGCATATGAGAACTTTTTTGAATTAAAATGATAGCAACACAAATGAAGTTGAAGAATGTTGATAATTTTCAGTGCGCATTGGATTTTTTGGATTTATTTGTGTGATGTGTGACGTGAAATCATCATTCTCGCTATCTATTTTTATGATCGCTGAAGAAAATCATGTGAAAAAAGCATATGATGATTATGGACCCAGTTATGAGTAAAACACTGATTCGCCGGGTAATTCAGTTCCAAATTCTATATTCAGCTAGCAAAATCAAGCCAAAATTCCAGTTTCTTTTCGTAAACATAGACTCCCAGGGCAAACAATACGAGGTAGCAATCGATCACATAGTTTCATTTTTACAAAACAAGAAACATCAATCACACGATACATGGCCTGTATTCATTCCTATATTGTTCTACGACAAAAACCACAATGAAAATCGACACAATAGGAACCTATATTCAATACAGTACCAGTAAAGCTCCGACGTAACAACACAAAATCCGAAATAACAATGAGGATTAGGCCAAGACGACCATACAACCAAGAACGGACCGGGCTAGTACAAGATTACGCGAACAACCTTTGGTATTTATAAAGATAATTAGTGCCATACGACGTGATAATATCTCATTATTTATGATTTATAATTTGACAGTGGTGATTTGTGTAGAGAGAGTACTATGGCCCAATTAAAAGAAGAATGTTAAGAGAAAATCCATTGCGCCTCGCCCACTTGTTTCCATCGTTAAGTTTACAAAGAAATTGCAAAATATTCCGGACAAAGCGACAGCTATGAGACGAACTGCTCATAACGTGATTTGGGTTTCACGTTGAATATTTCATGCCCCTCAAATTTCCCACTAAAAAAATCATCATGTTTGCATCTCTTGTCAGTCATTATGCGCTGAGTCATGTAACATCCATTCGTTCATAACACAAGGTCTGATTACCTGTCTTCGGGTTTTGGTGAATTATTGAAAATTGTGGCAAAGTGAAGAAAAATAAAAGTGACATAGTCAAGTAATTAATTAATTAAATTCAAATTACGTTTATGACCGACCCCTGGCATCCCTGGTGAACAATAGAAAAAATGTACTTACTGCAATTTTTTGAATTTTTCAGTACCGCCGGCTACGAGTGTCATTCCAGCGTTCAAGTCGGCGAGGTCACGAACCCTATGCCCTTCGCAGGGTGTATAAATGTTTCGCACTGCACCATACTGTGGTTTTAGACCGAGCGTAACCTGAAACAATAAAAAAAAATAAGAAAAAATCTCACGGAAACTTATAGGAATCAGATGTAGACAGTTATAAATGATTAATATGTAATATGGTACATATATATTCAGTATATTGAGTTTTCTAAAAAAACATTCAAATTTTAGTTAGTATAACCAGTTCGGACCACCTGAAGTATGCGCACCAAGATGGCGCACAACCTGAACTCAGGTAGTGTACCAGGTTAGGGTTCAGGTTATGCGACATCTTGGTGCGCATACTTCAGGAGCACCACCAGTTTTCATAAATTTGCAATGTGGATATTTAAAAAAAAAATCATGCAAGCTTAAGCAATATGAGTGTACATTAGGAAAATAAACGAAACTGGACTAAGATGGTCTTTCGTGATTCCTAGTAAATTGCGGCTAATATATTATGTGTGTTTTATATATTTATATATCTGTTCACTTGTTTAATTTTACGATAGTTTTCAATTTATTTTTAGCCGGGCAAAAATACACTTTTAAATAGTATAATCATTTTTAAGAGGGATTCATCAAATCGCATTGCTGCATTCACAATTTTGATACAGATAAATCTTACTCACCAAATTCATGAATCCATCAAAATCAGAGATATGTCTTCTGTTGACCACGAATTTTCTTCCAGGAAAATGCCCGTCCCCATTTTTGTAAACGACAATTGATTTCGCTATTTCTGGTTGCTGCATGGTATTGAGGTTATTGAACCTTTGATTCCTAAAATCGTCTGAGCCTGCGTATTGTTCCTGATGATGCGGATGATGGGCGTCTTCTTGTCGATGGTAAGCGACTTCCGTCATTTCACGGCAACAGGTTCGGAATTCTGAATTCTCTTCTGCGCAAAATACTTCCCAAGATTAGCCTGCGCAGAAACTTATTTATTGTTGTTTGATAATGATTATTATTCAACGAACATTATCAATAAGTCTAAGAAAATAATAAAGCCTTTAACCTTTCTCAGTATATATAACTGTACAAATAACTTTTCTAATTCACTATGTAGGTTTCTCGTGTGTATATACACAATGGCTGACCGAACGTACATCGCCTGCCTATAGAATTATTGATTTTTACCAGCATGCACGACTGAATAACAAATTAATTGTGCCAATGCTCTGCTTGGTATGTTTTTCCAAAGTTGACTATCGTTATATTATGTCATGTGCTTTTGCAAATCATATCTTATACTTTAATAGCATCTCATTAATATGGGAATGAAATTACAAATAGCAACAAGAAGAGATTTAAATAATGCGTGAAATGGATTAGCGTTTTGCACGTGAATTACCTATAAGCTGATGCCAATTATAACAATTCTGGAGTCGAGTAAGCACAGATTATATTGGGTATGACAGGCATCTTCGGTATGCAATTCTGCTGAGCTGATACAAAATATATCTACTCTCAACTTCTAATAATCTGCTCCGCTTATATATATTATATATAATAAATTCCTTTCATCTAAGATATAAATATTCCTGCAATTTGTGACGAATGATATACAACATTGGTTGGAGATCGGCCTAAATTATTCGAATCAACTGATTCGCGACAAAACACATTGGTTGCTCGAATAAAATCAAACATGAATACGTGGTAAGATGTTCGAAAAATTACTTTGCCAAAAAGAGAAAAAATAAATATACCCTTATGTAAAGAACGAGTTAACACCCAGTCAAAAAACGTATTGAGCGGATGGTGCAGAATAATTTGTTGCAACGAAGTCAAGCGCAGATGCTACTCGTGTCTGCACCACGCCTTTCATAATATCACAGATTGTGATTAAATTTTACGAATCTCATTATAAAGTAATTCTCAACATTACACCGTTATGCACCTGGTATAGGTAATAACCTAAAGCTGCTTTCAATGTGGTCTATAGTGAACATGAATTGAATATACAACGAGGACTGACATCATGTTTACAACGCTGCAAAGTGAAAGTACAGAGTACAATGTCAATACCTTAAAATAGATCTTCTGAACCTCACGACAAATAAAACTTTACGTGCTTGATGATTTTATGTAACTTCGATAATTCTTCTCTGATCGACCTGTGCGAAATTTGTTTTCTTTCCCATTGAAATTTTTTTACAACCTTTCCTACTTCTGCAATTATGCTCATTAATTTTTTAATGTCGGTAAGACATACATTTCCCCTAATTCCTTAGAAACGACCTGAAAATAATGTGAATATACGTTATACAAGTACGCTTCGTTACCATTTTTTCTCACGGCAAAATAAATTTGAATTCAATTCTGGTAAAAAAACATAGCGCTCTTTGATTCTAGTGTTGAGAGAATGTATTGGTAATTATTGCTGGGGTGCAGTTTTATATGTGATTACTATTATTTGCTTCAAAATCGAAGAAAAACACGAATAGTATTTCTGCTTCAAAAATCGATGAGTGAGGTTTATAGCACATCGATTATAAGCAACAACCATTAATTTAGAACATTATTTTTTTTATTTAAAATTTTACAACAATGTCAGAGCCAGTGGCGTAGCCAGGGGGTGGTTTTGCGGGTCGAACCCCCCTCCCCCCATTTTAAAATGTAAAAAAAAAATCAATTTTTAGTATTATAGATAGCAATTTGCCGTAGCTTGAAATGTTTTTTAGAACAGACAAACAGAGACTGGTCAGAACAGACAAAATTCAAATACGTGAAGATAATTTGTTTCAAATGAATAAATACACGGTTTCCCGCTATCGGTACCACTCTTAGTCACACATTTGGTGGGGTAAACAGTTAAGTGGTATATTCGTACAAAACCCCTGTGATACGCTATTATCATCATCATTTTAGTCGAAATTCCTCCTCATGTCGCAATTTTAACCACAAAATGTAAACAAACGTTAGCTGAATGCTGCGCCATCGAATACTTTGAACGCGCTCGTCATTCAGTGATCATGCCAAAGATCGCTATTGAGATACAGGTTCAAAGTTTGTGTAACACGAGTGTGAGCAAGAGCATTGTTGAACAACTATCAGTGGGATAGTCAGGTAAATAATATGCACTTTTCTCCTCGAGAAATAGACGCCATGTACGTACACCCTCGTATTTTTGTCTAATCTTACAGCAATGTTCAAACCAAAAAGGTTCTACATTTCAATTACAATGATATCTAAACGGACCACCCAAATATGGAATAAGAATATAGGCGACACCATCTTACAGACTTACTTTTATCAGTCAATTATGTATGATCAGTATATAATTGTAGATCTCTAATACTGGCATAGGAAACGTCAAAAAGCTGCACGACACTACAGCAACGTTTAACCAGCAGTGTTATCCCTAGGTTAGTGTAGCATGTAGCTATGTTATAATCAGACATCTGATCTAGCCTAATAGCTCATCCACCGTGTATTATGCTTGTAAATAATATACTAGAATGATAGGTACTGCACTAGGTAAGCGCTTATTTTTGCTAAATTTGTATCGTACTTTCTTGAAAATTTCAACGGCTATGGTACGCAATGCGTGCTAGGCGCATTTTACAACATAACTACAGCTGCCTCCTACTATATCTCGTTGAAGTACTCGACGACATGTCGCAAACAATCACGCCACCACCAGTCAGTCTGAACTGAGATTTACGGATAAGACAAGCGTCGCCATGGTGATCACATGGGCATGATCATGTCGTATTATCACCACCTAACGGCCTGAAACATTGTCTTCGGGAACTGCCGGATGTTTTGCTCATCATAATATCCGTCTGAACTTTGATATTTAAGAAAATGTATTGACAATATTACATTTATTGTATTTTAGGCTGTCACCACGTGACTTTGTACCAAAACCGCGGCTAGTTTCTATCTCCCATCTGTAGCATCTATAGCAAAAGGCGATAACGATCAGTTTGCACCAACGACTAACATACCGGTTTGCATGCATTCCAAGAATTTTATATTGGGAAAGTTTTATTTAATTCTTCAATTTATGAAAAAGAGGCTTGAATGATAGCCTCGAAACGGAACGAAAGGATCTATTTTTTAAACAATTCTCTTCACACAAAGAACGAAATTGATAGCTCTTTGTTAGTTGCAGCAATCACCTGTTTTGTAGGGTTGATTGATAAATTGAAGCGAGTTGCAGTATCGATACTTTTTTAACAGCTAATATTGCGGTTCCCTTCCACGCCGTACATGTTTTATGTCGTGTAGGCCTAATCGTAATTATTTTTGTGGTCGTGTTTAAAACTTAACAAAGGTGTGAAATGGAGGAATCGCTGTCCTATATGGACCAATGTACCGTAATATGCTTGGGATACATCTCGTGTTTCGGAAACCTGGAAATACAATCAGGAGAAGCCGATGACCCAGAAAATCTCGAGTCTTTGTGCACAATTGCTGATCAAGAATTAATTGAGTTTGGCGAGAAAGAAGGTAACTTTAAAATATTTCTAATGGCTAACAAAATGAACTGAAATTGCTTTGAAACAGAATGAACATTTTATTCAGATAAATATCTAATATAGTTTGCACAAAAGATGTTCCATATTTTGTTTGAAATTTCATATCGAAAAACACACAAATACTGAAATATCAGAATATTAGCCTATGTCTGTTAGCAAGAAAGATACTGGATGATGCATAAGTATGTTCTAAGACACTTATTTAAAGTTAGGTAACTTATAAAGTATTCTTGTCTACATTTAATTTCTTTGCAGAACTGCAAATTTTCTTGAACACATCTGCATGCTTGGCAGAAAAATTCAAGAATTCTGATAATGATGAAGAAGCGATTTTAGAATGTTTGACTATTTTGCAAAGGTATAAAATACCAATAACACTTTATAAAAATAGCATCTCTTGTTTATCGATGCTTGACATATGAATTGACCCTGCTATAGTTGTTTCGGTTGAGCTGATTTTTCAGATTTAAAAGCACATTGCTTAATTTATGATGGTGCCCAGGTATAACTGTATACAAAATATTGTGAAAATACATTTCTTTTCTGAATATGCTTTATTAGTATAATTAATAGTTTGCATTTTTGAGCAATGTCACATTTATTCTGGTTTTATACTTTATGTCAGAAATGTGACAGGAGTGAACATTTCTGGTCGATTAAATGGTTTGTGACTTTGTATTGTTTTCCATTTTTAGCTCTTTAGACCAAGAAAATTTTAATGAATGTGCAGACTCTATTATTACTCATCCTATTGAATCTTGGGACAAGGTATTATGTTTGTTATTGTACAATACAATCACCTCATAAAAAGCTTTAAAATTTCGTAATACAAATTTTTCAGGTGTCACAAATACTGCATTTAGTTTATAGAGCATGCGAACAATTAGGAAGTGCAAAGGTTGGAACTGTGATTGACGTTGGTGTAAGGTACATGAGAAAAAACTTCACAGATTTTGTAACGTCACAAGGTGGTTGGGTAAGAATATGTATATATATATATATATATATATATGGGTATGAAAAATTAATGTTGCAAAAGTGTATAGGATTTCCAGGGATCGTTATGTGCGAGAAGATTGCTGGACTCCTTGCCATCGTGGGGGGTTAACGTAATCGATGATCGGTCACGGCTTCCTCCACCATCAAGTCCATACTTCAAAAACAAATACCTGGCTAACTAATTCCACACTCAACATGGACTGGTAACCTGACGAGGGGCCATGGTTCGCCATATGATTAGGCCATCTTATCGGCTTTCCTTTCCCCTGGGATGAGTATGTATATCCTATCCCACTTTTTATGTTCTATAAAATTCTTTGATGTAATATAAAGGACTGATTTAATTTTAAATTGGTTTTCCATGTGTGGTACTTTTTTATCAAGTACAAATGGAAAGGCTATATATGTTTACTTTGCTTCAATAACCCATTTCATTTTGATTATTACCGTACTAGTTGAATCTTGTTTGCCTTGCAAAATATGTGACATTTTATTGCAGCGAAGCCTTGGTTTTGAGAAAAGTCAAGAAACGGAACAATTAGTGAAAGAAGAAGACCCGATATCTAGCAGCATTGTTCTTGTTTCAGATGAAGGATTAGATCAGGTACAGTACTGGACCTGATGTGTCTATTCATATAATACAAAAGAAAGCTTGCTTAATTTGAAAACATGAAGTTGATCCCCGATTTTGTGATGTCATTTGATTATCAAATTCACTTAAATAGGATGCCTTAAACTTCACATTAATAAGCAACAAATCAATGCATGCCGCAGGTGTCTATATTTCATTTGAAGCAGGTTTTTCTAAAATTCAGCCCACAGCCCTCCTATCTCTCTGGTCACGAGTATAGCTTTGTGATGACTACAATAATCTAAAGTAAATTGATAATTGAATGTTCCACAAAACATCACTGCTAGAAACCGGTTGAAAGCAAAAGTAGGTATTTTCATTGAAGAGCAGGGGGTCACACGTCTCTTCTTGGATCATGGAAGCATAGCATTTCGCTATCAACTTTGGGTATTGGCTTTGCAATAAGTGTTGTTGAAGTAAATGCAATAGAAAATGAAGTTCCTGTATGTGTTTATCCCAATAAAATATTGGATGTATATCATTTCTTAGAATTCTATATCTAATTTTTTCACAAAATTATTTAATTTAATTAAGGGATTGCCACCAAAATTTGAGACAGCTGTTGGAGCTGGAGATGCATCTGCAGCAGGTATATTTACTAGTATGTTTTTTTTACATTTCTCCTTTAAATAAAACGCTTCAAGAGAGGCTGATGAGATATGCAGATTGGTTTAGTTTTAGAGGGACAACATATAAGGTTGCTCTACCAAATAGTTCCAAGATTCATCAGATTAGGTCAACACTAATCATATATTTTTTAGTAAGTTTCTATTATTTAGTAAGGAATCTATGGTCACTATACTATACCCATACTGTCACAAAATACACTAATTTTACAAAAAATGATACATTGAATCTCCTGTCTTTCATATACAGATAAAGCGTCGCCTCAAAACGAAGAAGAATCATTTAATTTGCAAGACTCCTCTGTCTTGGCTTCTCCAAAGAATAGAACCCCTGTGCCTCTTTCTCCACTTAGCACTCCTCCATTTTCTATACCATCATCAACCAATACAGATGATGACAGAGACAGTCTTGCAACTCCACCTGAGATGGTAGAAAAGCCATTAATGACCGAATCATTTATTCGAGCAATGGGAGGTGAAGATATTAGAAGGGAGTCTAGTGGAAATGGCAATGATTTTGAAATAATTGGATCTGAAAATGGAGCATCTATGACAGACTCACAGAATGTGATGCAGAGTATTGAAGAGTCTCAGGTTTCTGAGCTAGTGGTAGAAAAAGAAGAAATTTCTTCAGTGCAGAGTTCCAACGCACAAAGTGCTGATCTAGTGGTAGTAAATGAAGAAATTTCTTCCGAGCAGAGTTCCACAGCACAAAGTGAATTGGATCATAAAGTTTCAACGCAGACAGCGTCCATTGTAGAGACTGAAACCACTAGTGAAGAGGAGCCAATATTGGGTGGCTATCTGCCACATATATCACTTGGAGTGGCTGCTGCAGCTGCCGTTGCAGGTTTTTTTGTCTTGAAGAAAAACATGTAACCTTATTGGTTTCTGTTATAATTTATTCATAAATTGACTTCTGGGACAAGTTGTAATGTAAGAGTAATGGAGCAATGCCACTTCCAATTATGCAAGATTTGGTCACTGGCGATGCTGTACAAATGGTGGCGCTTTATGCAGTGTTTAACAATTGCCAATAGTGAGTCCCTTCCCCACTGTGAATTCGATGTTACACATCAATGATAGCAACGTACAGCCCACTAGAGAATCATAAGCTAGGAAATGTATGTCTTTGTCGCCATATTAAAATTTATAATTTTGTTTCGTAATTTTTGCTTCAAATAAAGTTTGCTCAGTTCCATGCATGAATCTGGATATTAGCATGTATGGGAAATGTGGTTCATGGTAGACTAGGGTTGCCATACCGTCCGGACATGTCCGGAATATTTTTACTACGAGGTCATGAAAATAGTCATGCACTGTCTGGAATTTTGCTTTTTCAAATATGGTGACCCTATGTTGTACAGAATAGCTAAAACCAATTCCAGAGACAGTTGTTTAAGACACAGAATCCGAACACTTGTCTAGAAATTTCCCTCTTTCAGTGGTTTACAAGTA